TGAAAGTGTTGTGGTCAGATGAGACCAAAATCGAGCTCTTTGGCATCAACTCAACTCGCCGTGTTTGGAGGAGGAGGAATGCTGCCTATGCTTTCACTCTAGTGGTAGCATGAGACGGAGTCTACAACCCACACAAGTGGCTCAGGTAGTGCAGCTCATCCAGGATGGCACATCAATGCGAGCTGTGGCAAGAAGGTTTGCTGTGTCTGTCAGCGTAGTGTCCAGAGCATGGAGGCGCTACCAGGAGACAGGCCAGTACATCAGGAGACGTGGAGGAGTCCGTAGGAGGGCAACAACCCAGCAGCAGGACTGCTACCTCCGCCTTTGTGCAAGGAGGAGAAGGAGGAGCACTGCCAGAGCCCTGCAAAATGACCTCCAGCAGGCCACAAATGTGCATGTGTCTGCTCAAACGGTCAGAAACAGACTCCATGAGGGTGGTATGAGGGCCCGACGTCCACAGGTGGGGGTTGTGCTTACAGCCCAACACCGTGCAGGACGTTTGGCATTTGCCAGAGAACACCAAGATTGGCAAATTCGCCACTGGCGCCCTGTGCTCTTCACAGATGAAAGCAGGTTCACACTGAGCACGTGACAGAGTCTGGAGACGCCGTGGAGAACGTTCTGCTGCCTGCAACATCCTCCAGCATGACCGGTTTGGCGGTGGGTCAGTCATGGTGTGGGGTGGCATTTCTTTGGGGGGCCGCACAGCCCTCCATGTGCTCACCAGAGGTAGCCTGACTTCCATTAGGTACCGAGATGAGATCCTCAGACCCCTTGTGAGACCATATGCTGGTGCGGTTGGCCCTGGGTTCCTCCTAATGCAAGACAATGCTAGACCTCATGTGGATAGAGTGTGTCAGCAGTTCCTGCAAGAGAAAGGCATTGATGCTATGGACTGGCCTGCCCGTTCCCCAGACCTGAATCCAATTGAGCACATCTGGGACATCATGTCTCGCTCCATCCACCAATGCCACGTTGCACCACAGACTGTCCAGGAGTTGGCGGATGCTTTAGTCCAGGTCTGGGAGGAGATCCCTCAGGAGACCATCCGCCACCTCATCAGGAGCATGCCCAGGCGTTGTAGGGAGGTCATACAGGCAGGTGGAGGCCACACACACTACTGAGCCTCATTTTGACTTGTTTTAAGGACATTACATCAAAGTTGGATCAGCCTGTAGTGTGGTTTTCCACTTTAATTTTGAGGGTGACTCCAAATCCAGACCTCCATGGGTTGATAAATTTGATTTCCATTGATATAATTTTTGTGTGATTTTGTTGTCAGCACATTCAACTATGTAAAGAAAAACGTATTTAATAAGATTATTTCATTCATTCAGATCTAGGGTGTGTTATTTTAGTGTTCCCTTTATTTTTTTGAGCAGTGTATATCAACGAATTGGCGAGGGCACTAGAACAGTCTGCAGCACCCGGCCTCACCCTACTAGAATCTGAAGTCAAATGTCTACTGTTTGCTGATGGTCTTGTGCTTCTGTCCCCAACCAAGGAGGGCCTACAGCAGCACCTAGATCTTCTGCACAGATTCTGTCAGACCTGGACAGTAAATCTCAGTAAGATAAATATAATGGTGTTCCAAAAAAGGTCCAGTTGCCAGGACCACAAATACAAATTCCATCTAGACACTGTTGCCCTAGAGCACACAAAAAACTATACATACCTCGGCCTAAACATCAGCAACACAGGTAACTTCCACAAAGCTGTGAACGATCTGAGAGACAAGGCAAGAAGGGCCTTCTATGCCATCAAAAGGAACATAAAATTCAACATACCAATTAGGATCTGGCAAAAAATACTTGAATCAGTTGTAGAACCCATTGCCCTTTATGGTTGTGAGGTCTGGGGTCCGCTCACCAACCAAGAATTCACAAAATGGGACAAACACCAAATTGAGACTCTGCATGCAGAATTCTGCAAAAATATCCTGTGTCCAATGTAAAACACCAAATAATGCATGCAGAGCAGAATTAGGCCGATACCCGCTAATTATCAAAATCCAGAAAAGAGCCGTTTAAATTCTACAACCACCTAAAAGGAAGCGATTCCTAAACCTTCCATAACAAAGCCATCACCTACAGAGAGATGAACCAGGAGAAGAGTACCCTAAGCAAGCTGGTCCTGGGGCTCTGTTCACAAACACAAACAGACCCCACAGAGCCCCAGGACAACAACACAATTAGACCCAACCAAATCATGAGAAATTGGAAAGAATTTACAAAAAAACAGAGCAAACTAGAATGCTATTTGGCCCTAAACAGAGAGTACACTGACCCAAAATTAAGGAAATCTTTGACTATGTACAGACTCAGTGAGCACAGCCTTGCTATTGAGATAGGCCGCCGTAGGCAGACCTGGCTCTCAAGAGAAGACAGGCTATGTGCACACTGCCCACAAAATGAGGTGGAAACTGAGCTGCACTTCCTGCCAAATGAATGACCATATTAGAGAGACATATTTCCCTCAGATTACACAGACCCACATAGAATTCGAAAACAAACCCAATTTTGATAAACTCCCATATCTATTGGGTTAAAAACCACAGTGTGCCATCACAGCAGCAAGATTTGTGACCTGTTGCCACAAGAAAAGGGCAACCAGTGAATAACAAATACCATTGTAAATACAACCTATATTTATGTTTATTTATTTTCCTTTTTGTACTTTAACTATTTGCACATCATTACAACACTGTATAGACATAATATGACATTTGAAATGTCTTTATTCTTTTGGTAACTTTTGTGAGTGTAATGTTTACTGTTAGTTTTTTATTATTTAATTCACTTTTGTTTATTATCTATTTCACTTGCTTTGGCAATGTAAACATATGTTTCCCATGCCAATAAAGCCCCTTAAATTGAATTGAAATTGAAATTGAATTGAGAGAGGGGCTGTACGTAGAGAGAGACAGGAGAGAGAGAGGGGGGCTGTACGTAGAGAGGGACAGGAGAGGCCTACAAACAGAGAGTGGATGCCAGATTGTGCTGAAGGGAGGAGGGTGGGAGGGAGGTCGAGGGGGAGAGGGAGGGAGTGGGGAGCTCCTCTGAGCGGTTCCTTCTGCAGGCGTAGCACTCTCTCTGTTCTGTTCTAAACAGTTTACATGTGGTGCCTCTTACTCACTCACAGTCTCACTCTCCCTCTCCCTCTCCCTCTCCCTCTCTCCTTCACTCTCGCTTGCTTTGTTTCTTCTCTCTAATCCTGAATTACAGGGAGACGTCCTCACGGTCATCAGACGAGCGGATGAAAACTGGATTGAAGGAAAGCTGGGAGACAAAGTTGGCATTTTTCCTCTCCAGTTCACTGAGGTTAGTTCCTTCCTTCCTTCCTTCCTTCCTTCCTTCCTTCCTTCCTTCCTTCCTTCCTTCCTTCCTTCCTTCCTTCCTTCCTTCCTTCCTTCCTTCCTTCCTTCCTTCCTTCCTTCCTTCCTTCCTTCCTTCCTTCCTTCCTTCCTTCCTTCCTTCCTTCCTTCCTTCTATGTACTGTATAGTGAGAGTACCATACTGTCAGATATGATCAACGTTGTGATACCTGCCCTCTCAGTACCCTGTCTTGTAATAGAAGTCTGTACTGTAATGTTGTTAATACTGGGTCAATGCTGAGGCAGTACTTTGATTCCTCTCAAATCTCTCCTCTTTGATTCTTACTTAAATGTCAGGCCTTCTGCACTGCAGTGTACTGAGGCTAATAGAGCTAATCCTACTCTCCCTACTGAGTCTGCCCTCATCCCTAGGAAGTGCACTACTTTACCAGGGCCCTCTTTCCTCCTTTCCTATCTACCACTCTCTTCTTTTCTATTTTTAACCTTCCACTCTTCTGTCTTCTCCTCTCTGACCTTCCACTCTTCTGTCTTCTCCTCTCTGACCTTCCACTCTTCTATCTTCTCCTCTCTGACCTTCCACTCTTCTATCTTCTCCTCTCTGACCTTCCACTCTTCTATCTTCTCCTCTCTGACCTTCCACTCTTCTGTCTTCTCCTCTCTGACCTTCCACTCTTCTATCTTCTCCTCTCTGACCTTCCACTCTTCTTTGCACTTTTAGCCTTTCATATCTATCCCTCTGTTCTCCTGTTATGTTCTCTCCTCCTCTCTACCCTTCTCTGCTTTCATCCTCTTCCTCTCCTCTCTGTCTCTCTGAGCCTCCCCGTGTCAGGCAGTGAAGCGTAAGGACACAGTAATGCTTTCTGTGCTTGGGTGGCATATAATAGCACATCACCGTAGGGAGTGAGAGCATTAGCACTGCCTGCCTGTCTTCCTGTTTGTCTGCCTGTCTGCCTGCCTGTACTGCCTGTCTGCCTGCCTGTACTGCCTGCCTACCTGTACTGCCTGCCTGCCTGCCTCTCTGTCTGCCTCTCTGCCTGTCTGCCTGCCTGTACTGCCTGCCTGCCTGCCTGTACTGCCTGTCTGCCTGCCTGTACGGCCTGCCTGCCTGCCTGTCTGCCTGCCTGCCTCTCTGCCTGTCTGCCTGCCTGTCTGCCTGCCTGTACTGCCTGCCCCTGTCTGTCTACCTGCCTCCCTCCCTCCCTGCCTGCCTCTCTGCCCGCCTGCTCTGCCTGTGTAGCAGCATCACTCTGCTCCACTCTGTCCCCTGCTCCTCTTAACACCAGTCACGACTGACTGCCTGTCTCAACTGGTGCTTTTCTGCCTGCCTGCCTGACTGACTGACTGCCTAGAGCCTAGCAAACAAGTGCAAGATGTGAGCTTTAAAACAGCTGCGTCACAGATCAGAGACGACCACAGTGGGGATCCAAGGGATGGCAGGTAAAGAGGCTGAGAGAGGGAGAAGGAGGAGGGATGAGGAGGAGGGATGAGGAGGATGGAATAAGGGAGGAGGGGGGAAGAAGGATTTCCTCTCTGTTTGTGATCAACAGTTTTATTTTCACTGTGAGATTAGGAGAGAGTAGGTTCTCACTCTCACTCACTCACTCACTCACTCACTCACTCACTCACTCACTCACTCTGATCCTGTAACGTGTTTCTTCTCTTCCAGCCAAACACGGCGGCAGCAGCCAAGCTTCTGGAGGGAAAGATCTGGAAGGGGAGTGACTCTTCGGCTGAATCTCGCCCAGGGATCGGGAGTGGGAGTGGGGTTAGCAACAGCGGGACCGGTGACTCAACAAACCCCAACCGGTCAACCTGCTTCGGGGCGACCCAGATCCCCACGAAGACCCCCAATATTTCTGCTCTCAACCCCCCCACCACCACCCAGGGGATACAGCAACAAGCTAGCAGCAGCACCCTGTACAAGTCGAACCAGACACAACCTTCTAATATCAATGGTCTGTACCAATCAACCCAGGCACAACAACTTGCTAATATCAACAGTGTGTACCAGCCGACCCAGGGGCAGCCACCCAGCGTGAGTGCCCTCAACAGCCTGAACCATCAGGATCAACAGAGCCAGCTGTCCCACCCCTCCGCCCCCCCTCCCAACCACAGCTCCTCTCACCGCTCAGGCTCAGGTGTGACCTCACAGCGCGTGAAGCGAAGCTCAGAGAGAACTGGCAGACACCTGTCACAACAGGTGAGTCCTCAGGTTTCTGTGTAGGTGTGTGTGTGTGGCAGGTGTTTGTGTGCAGGGCAGCGTAGAGGATTTGGATAAAGCTTCAAGACATTTACTCTGTTGCTCAGTGTTTTGGTGTTGACTTCCTACATAGTAAGATCTGGTTTTCTTTTAGTTTTACTCTTCCTCCTTGGAATTCCCCCATAAACTGCCTTTCTATTGCTGTTGTCTCAAGATCTCTGTGGAATGCCAGGGTTTTATCCACTAGAGAGAGAGAACACTTCCTCTCCTCTCCTCTCCTCTCCTCTCCTCTCCTCTCCTCTCCTCTCCTCTCCTCTCCTCTCCTCCTCTCCTCTCCTCTCCTCTCCTCTCCTCTCCTCTCCTCTCCTCTCCTCTCCTCTCCTCTCCTCTCCTCTCCTCTCTTCTCCTCATCCTCTCCTCATCCTCTCCTCATCCTCTCCTCTCCTCTCCTCTCCTCATCCCCTCCTCTTCTTCTATCTTCTACCCTCTTCTTTCGCTCTGTTTTCCTTTCATATCCACACCTACACTGTTTTCAGAATAACTAGTCCTTTAACACAGGCTGTTTTCAGAATAACTAGTCCTTTAACAGGCTGTTTTCAGAATAACTAGTCCTTTAACACAGGCTGTTTTCAGAATAACTAGTCCTTTAACACAGGCTGTTTTCAGAATAACTAGTCCTTTAACACAGGCTGTTTTCAGAATAACTAGTCCTTTAACACAGGCTGTTTTTCAGAATAACTAGTCCTTTAACACAGGCTGTTTTCAGAATAACTAGTCCTTTAACACAGGCTGTTTTCAGAATAACTAGTCCTTTAACACAGGCTGTTTTCAGAATAACTAGTCCTTTAAAACAGACTGTTTTCAGAATAACTAGTCCTTTAAAACAGACTGTTTTCAGAATAACTAGTCCTTTAAAACAGACTGTTTTTAAAAGGATAATTGAGTTTAAAAGGATAATACAGCCATTTGGGCTGTATCCCAAATGGCACCCTATACCCTGGGGGGGGGGGAAGCATTATGACCCAGAGGGAGGGGAAGCATTATTACAGATGGAGGTAGTGAACGATAGAGGGAGTGAAGGAGAGATGGAGGGAGGTAGTGAACGATAGAGGGAGTGAAGGAGAGATGGATGGATGGAGGTAGTGAACGATAGAGGGAGTGAAGGAGAGATGGATGGATGGAGGTAGTGAACGATAGAGGGAGTGAAGGAGAGATGGAGGGAGGTAGTGAACGATAGAGGGAGTGAAGGAGAGATGGATGGATGGAGGTAGTGAACGATAGAGGGAGTGAAGGAGAGATGGATGGATGGAGGTAGTGAACGATAGAGGGAGTGAAGGAGAGATGGATGGATGGAGTAGTGAACGATAGAGGGAGTGAAGGAGATGGGATGGATGGAGGTAGTGAACGATAGAGGGAGTGAAGGAGAGATGGATGGAGGTAGTGGAACGATAGAGGGAGTGAAGGAGAGATGGAGGGAGGTAGTGAACGATAGAGGGAGTGAAGGAGAGATGGAGGAGGTAGTGACGATAGAGGGAGTGAAGGAGAGATGGATGGGCAGGTAGTGAAGATGGAGGGAGTGAAGGAAGGATGGATGGAGGTAGTGAACGATAGAGGGAGTGAAGGAAGGATGGATGGAGGTAGTGAACAATAGAGGGAGTGACGGAGAGATGGATGGAAGTAGTGAACGATAGAGGGAGTGAAGGAGAGATGGATGGAGGGTAGTGAACGATAGAGGGAGTGAAGGGAGAGATGGATGGAAGTAGTGAACGATTAGAGGGAGTGACGGAGAGATGGATGGGAGGTAGTGAACGATTAGAGGGAGTGGAAGGAGAGATGGTATTGGCAAGTAGTTGAACGATAGAGGGGTGAAGGAGAGATGGATGGAGGTAGTGAACGATAGAGGGAGTAGTGAAGGAGAGATGGATGGAAGTAGTGAAAACCCGATAGAGGGAGTGAAGGATAGGATGGATGGAGGTAGGTAGGAACGATAGAGGGAGTGAAGGAGAGATGGAGGGAGGTAGTGGAACGATATAGTGAGTGAAGGAGAGTGGATGGAGGTAGTGAAAGATGGAGGGAGTGGAGTGAAGGAGAGATGGATGAGGTAGTGAAGAGAGGGAGGCAAGGAAGATGGATGGATGGAGGTCGGTAGTGGAGTGAAAAATGGGAGGGAGTTGAAGGAGAGATGCGATTGGGAGGGAGGTGGTGAAAGATAGAGGGAGTGAAGGAGAGATGGATGGAGGTAGTTGGACGATAGAGGGAGGAAGGAGAGCTGGATGGAGGTAGTGAACGATATGAGGGAGTGAAGGAGAGATGGAGGGAGGTAGTGAACGATAGAGGGAGTGAAGGATAGATGGATGGAGGTAGTGAAGATGGAGGTAGTGAAGGAGAGATGGATGGAGGTAGTGAAAGATGGAGGGAGTGAAGGAGAGATGGAGGGAGGTAGTGAAACGATAGAGGGAGTGAAGGAGAGATGGATGGAAGTGGTGAAAGATGGAGGGAGTGAAGGAGAGATGGATGGAGGTAGTGAACGATAGAGGGAGTGAAGGAAAGGATGGATGGAGGTAGTGAAAGATGGAGGGAGTGAAGGAGAGATGGATGGAGGTAGTGAACGATAGAGGGAGAGATGGATGGAGGTAGTGAACGATAGAGGGAGTGAAGGAGAGATGGAGGAAGGTAGTGAATGATAGAGGGAGTGAAGGAGAGATGGATGGGATGGAGGTAGTGAACGATAGAGGGAGTTGAAGGAGAGATGGAGGGAGGTAGTGAACGATATAGGGAGTGAAGGAGAGATGGAGGGAGGTAGTGAACGATAGAGGGAGTGAAGGAGAGATGGATGGAGGTAGTGAACGATAGAGGGAGTGAAGGAGAGATGGATGGAGGTAGTGAAAGATGGAGGGAGTGAAGGAGAGATGGAGGGAGGTAGTGAACGATAGAGGGAGTGAAGGAGATATGGATGGAAGTGGTGAAAGATGGAGGGAGTGAAGGAGAGATGGATGGAGGTAGTGAACGATAGAGGGAGTGAAGGAAGGATGGATGGAGATAGTGAACAATAGAGGGAGTGACGGAGAGATGGATGGAAGTAGTGAACGATAGAGGGAGTGAAGGAGAGATGGATGGAGGTAGTGAACGATAGAGGGAGTGAAGGAGAGATGGATGGAAGTAGTGAACGATAGAGGGAGTGAAGGAGAGATGGATGGAGGTAGTGAACGATAGAGGGAGTGAAGGAGAGATGGATGGAAGTAGTGAACGATAGAGGGAGTGAAGGAGAGATGGATGGAGGTAGTGAACGATAGAGGGAGTGAAGGAGAGATGGATGGAAGTAGTGAACGATAGAGGGAGTGAAGGAGAGATGGATGGAGGTAGTGAACGATAGAGGGAGTGAAGGAGAGATGGAGGGAGGTAGTGAACGATAGAGGGAGTGAAGGAGAGATGGATGGAGGTAGTGAAAGATGGAGGGAGTGAAGGAGAGATGGATGGAGGTAGTGAACGATAGAGGGAGTGAAGGAAAGATGGATGGATGGAGGTAGTGAAAGATGGAGGGAGTGAAGGAGAGATGGATGGAGGTAGTGAACGATAGAGGGAGTGAAGGAGAGATGGATGGAGGTAGTGAACGATAGAGGGAGTGAAGGAGAGATGGAGGGAGGTAGTGAACGATAGAGGGAGTGAAGGAGAGATGGATGGAGGTAGTGAACGATAGAGGGAGTGAAGGAGAGATGGAGGGAGGTAGTGAACGATAGAGGGAGTGAAGGAGAGATGGATGGAGGTAGTGAAAGATGGAGGGAGTGAAGGAGAGATGGATGGAGGTAGTGAAAGATGGAGGGAGTGAAGGAGAGATGGAGGGAGGTAGTGAACGATAGAGGGAGTGAAGGAGAGATGGATGGAAGTGGTGAAAGATGGAGGGAGTGAAGGAGAGATGGATGGAGGTAGTGAACGATAGAGGGAGTGAAGGAAGGATGGATGGAGGTAGTGAAAGATGGAGGGAGTGAAGGAGAGATGGATGGAGGTAGTGAACGATAGAGGGAGAGATGGATGGAGGTAGTGAACGATAGAGGGAGTGAAGGAGAGATGGAGGAAGGTAGTGAATGATAGAGGGAGTGAAGGAGAGATGGATGGATGGAGGTAGTGAACGATAGAGGGAGTGAAGGAGAGATGGAGGGAGGTAGTGAACGATAGAGGGAGTGAAGGAGAGATGGAGGGAGGTAGTGAACGATAGAGGGAGTGAAGGAGAGATGGATGGAGGTAGTGAACGATAGAGGGAGTGAAGGAGAGATGGATGGAGGTAGTGAAAGATGGAGGGAGTGAAGGAGAGATGGAGGGAGGTAGTGAACGATAGAGGGAGTGAAGGAGAGATGGATGGAAGTGGTGAAAGATGGAGGGAGTGAAGGAGAGATGGATGGAGGTAGTGAACGATAGAGGGAGTGAAGGAAGGATGGATGGAGGTAGTGAAAGATGGAGAGAGTGAAGGAGAGATGGATGGAGGTAGTGAACGATAGAGGGAGAGATGGATGGAGGTAGTGAACGATAGAGGGAGAGATGGATGGATGGAGGTAGTGAAAGATGGAGATAGTGAAGGAGAGATGGATGAATGGAGGTAGTGAAAGATGGAGGGGAGTCTATAGGAAACAGCAGGGAAGCCCCCAGGAGGCCAGGCTTCCCTGAAGCTGATGATTAGCATTCTGAAAGGGCATAGCATGCTCCTGCTGTGGTCTGGCCTGGGAGATAGAATATACCTGTGTCCAAAATGGGACCCTATTCCCTATATAGACCAGGGCTCTGGTCAAAAGCAGTGCACTATGTAGGGTGCAATTTGGTATGGAGCCACAGACAGGAAGGGTGCTCAACGAGGTGTATCTGAGAAGAGATTGAGGAGACAACAACCTTGACTTACTTAATGTACCATAAACATATCATCTGGACTGCTGATAAAGCATTAGCTATGCAGCTATGCTAACTCAGGTGCAGTACCTACTGTATGTTATGTTGTGCCTGGTCCCAGATAAAGAAATGAATCCTATACCTTTAACCCCAAATTATACTGTACAACTACAGTCGTGGTCAAAAGTTTTGAGAATGACACAAATACTAATTTTCACAAAGTCTGCTGCCTCAGTTTTGATGATGGCAATTTGCATATACTCCAGAATGTCATGAAGAGTGATCAGATGAATTGCAATTAATTGCAAAGTCCCTCTTTGTAATGAAAATGAATTTAATCCCCCAAAAAACACATTTCCACTGCATTTCAGCCCTGCCACAAAAGGACCAGCTGCCATCATGTCAGTGATTCTCTCATTAACACAGGTGAGAGTGTTGACGAGGACAGGGCTGGAGATCACTCTGTCATGCTGATTGAGTTAGAATAACAGACTGGAAGCTTTAAAAGGAGGGTGGTGCTTGAAATCATTGTTCTTCCTCTGTTAACCATGGTTACCTGCAAGGAAACATGTGCCGTCATCATTGCTTTGCACAAAAAGGGCTTCACAGGCAAGGATATTGCTGCTAGTAAGATTGCACCTAAATCAACCATTTATCGGATCATCAAGAACTTCAAGGAGAGAGGTTCAATTGTTGTGAAGAAGGCGTGTATAGGGCACCCAAGAAAGTCCAGCAAGCGCCAGGACCGACTCCTAAAGTTGATTCAGCTGCGGGATCGGGGCACCACCAGTGCAGAGCTTGCTCAGGAATGGCAGCAGGCAGGTGTGATTGCATCTGCACGCACAGTGAGGTGAAGACTTTTGGAGGATGGCCTGGTGTCAAGAAGGGCAGCAAAGAAGCCACTTCTCTCCAGGAAAAACATCAGGGACAGACTGATATTCTGCGAAAGGTACAGGGATTGGACTGCTGAGGACTGGGGTAAAGTCATTTTCTCTGATGAATCCCCTTTCCGATTGTTTGGGGCATCCGGAAAACACCTTGTCCGGAGAAGACAAGGTGAGCGCTACCATCAGTCCTGTGTCAAGCCAACAGTAAAGCATCCTGAGACCATTCATGTGTGGGGTTGCTTCTCAGCCAAGGGAGTGGGCTCACTCACAATTTTGCCTAAGAACACAGCCATGAATAAAGAATGGTACCAACACATCCTCCGAGAGCAACTTCTCCCAACCATCCAAGAACAGTTTGGTGACGACCAATGCCTTTTCCAGCATGATGGAGCACCTTGCCATAAGGCAAAAGTGATAACTAAGTGGCTCGGGGAACAAAACATCGACATTTAGGGTCCATGGCCAGGAAACTCCCCAGACCTTAATCCCATAGAGAACGTGTGGTCAATCCTCAAGAGGCGGGTGAACAAACAAAAACCCACAAATTCTGACAAACTCCAAGCATTGATTATGCAAGAATGGGCTGCCATCAGTCAGGATGTGGCCCAGAAGTTAATTGACAGCATGCCAGGGCGGATTGCAGAGGTCTTGAAAAAGAAGGGTCAACGCTGCAAATATTGACTCTTTGCATAAACTTAATGTAATTGTCAACAAAAGCCTTTGACACTTATGGAATGCTTGTAATTATACTTCAGTATACCATAGTAACATCTGACAAAAAATATCTCATAACACTGAAGCAGCGAACTTTTGTGAAGACCAATACTTGTGTCATTCTCAAAACTTTTGACCGTAACTGTACACTATGCTGTCTAGTCAAAGTCATTTAAAAAGCAGGTTATTCTGAAGCTAGTGCTATGCCAGCCTTACCAACACAAAAACGCCTCTGCAGAGATTTAATTTCAAACCAACCTCAGGGCTCTACACTGACCTTTTTTTACAAGGAGCACATCTGTGCCTAAAATGAAAAATGTAGGCACACACAAAGGAATTCAGGAGCACAATGAAAATATATTTTAGGTATTGAAGCTAGCATCCTTAATTCTTCTAGGCGCCCTGGTACTCCTAAATACAAAATTCCAGGTCGCACAGCAAAATATTTAGGCATATATGTGAGTAAAAGCCCTGCACCCTACTTCTGTGACTGTTGCCAGCTGACCTACCCTTTAAGATAATTAGTTTGATTAAATTGAATCGTCATTGCTCTACCCTGCAATTATACACATCAGGGAGGGAGAGAATCATGTTGATGAGGGCGGTCCAGAGCGCCCCTCTATCTCTCTGTTGATCCCTCACATGATGATGATGATGGTGAGTCACTCTGTAGAGTCAGTTATATAACAGAACCCCTCGTCTCTCTTTCTGTTCTCTCTTTCTCTCTCGTTCCCGATCCCCCTCTCTCTCTTTCTGTCTTTGTCTCTCCGTCTCTCTCGTTCTCTCTCTCCCATCTCCCTCTCTTTTATCTGCCTGAGAGCTCCTTCCTCTTCACTGAACAGGTAACACTCTTTCACATCGCTGTGCCAATAATAGCAGACAAGCCTGGTCCTGCATGCCCTCCCTCCCTCCGTCCCTCCCTCCCTCCCTCCCTCCCTCCCTAACCTCCCTCCCTCCCTCCCTAACCTCCCTCCCTCCCTCCCTCCCTAACCTCCCTCCCTCCCTCCCTCCCTCCCTAACCTCCCTCCCTCCCTCCCTCCCTCTGTCCCCGCTAAACAGAGGGAGTTTGTATATGTTATGTGTGTTTTCTTCCCACCTCAGCACTAAGTTCTGATGTCATGATGTTGATGGTGGGATTGTAGGAAGTAAGGCAGTAATGATGTAAATGAAGTAAAATAATCTTTAACATTGCTGTTTATTTGTAGAGCTTTAAGTTAACGTTATACAGTACGGGCTTCATAATCAGAGAACCACGTTCTGTCAACATTATCAACATGTCAACAATGGATATAAAATGCTATGAGGCTGTCTGTGGAGAACAGTTTATTTGTCCTGTTTCTTTGCCATATCTGATTGGTGAGTGCCAGACATGTTTGGGATGACAAACAACGAAATAGGAGTTGGCTAATGAAGTACAAACAAACAGATCTGTGCTAACAGTCACTAACAGTTTAACAGTTGCTAAGAAGTTACCTGCTGCTAACAGTTTACTTGTTGTGTTGCTGGAGATGGTATGAGATTCTAACAAGTGGTGAGATTGTAGGAACACCCTACCATGCTGTGTTTCTAGAGGTGTGATGCTAATAGCGTGGGTCTGGAACTCCGCTATGTAGTGTTTACAGAGTGACTACACTGTGAACCACAAACCATTACAACAGGAGAGGAGAGGAGGAGGAGGAGGAGGAGAGGGAGAGGAGGGGAAGTAAGAGGGTAGTGTGAGGTTGAAGGTAGGAGTGAGATGTTTTAGAAATAACCACAACAACAGGAGGGGAGGAGAGCAGGAATGAGAATATACAGTGCTGAGATTCACTGCTTGTTTTGTGTCTTTGGAATGAAGAAAAACAAACCAAAATGCTAAACATCATAACATATTTAAAAGGCAGTGGTTATCATAGAACTGTTCTCTCTCTCTCTCTCTCTCTCTCTCTCTCTCTCTCTCTCTCTTCTCTCTCTATCTATGCGCTCTATGCTCTCTCTCTCTCTATAGCTCTCTCATCTCTCTCTCTCTCTCCTCTCTCTCTCTCTCTCTCTCTCTCTCTCTCTCTCTCTCTCTCTCTCTCTCTCATTATTAGAATGCTGCACAACACAGCACTTGACACAACAGGCTTCGAGCGTCTGAATTGATGTTGTTGACGTCCTGGTTAGAACAGCCATTTCCTAGAGTTTGAAGTAATGTTTTTTTTTTTTTCATTTCTGGTTAAAACAGCCAGTTCTGAGAGTCTGAAGTGATGTGTTGTTGACATCCTGCTTAGAACAGCCAGTTCTGAGAGTCTGAAGTGATGTGTCGTTGACATCCTGCTTAGAACAGCCAGTTCTGAGAGTCTGAAGTGATGTGTTGTTGACATCCTGCTTAGAACAGCCAGTTCTGAGAGTCTGAAGTGATGTGTCGTTGACATGCTAGAGTTCAGGGTAGTTTGTGGGTTCGATTCCCACGGGGAGCCAGTATAAAAAATAATAATGATGCACTCACTAACTGTAAGTCGCTCTGGATAAGAGCGTCTGCTAAATAATGTAAATGTACAGTGTGAACATAATGCTGCCTTGTGTGTGTGTGTTTGAGAGAGAGAGAGAGATGAACTGGTGTTTTCATGTTTTCTGTCTGTTTGCTGTGTGTGAGCCACATGCCTTATAAAGCCAAAGATCCATTTCCATTCCACAATAAATGTTGAATCTGATAATATCACGCTCAACAACTGGCCTTGCTGACTTCTCCTAGCGGCCTTTCAAATTGAGAATTGGACTCAAGATGTTCATAAAAATCCGATATTGGAATTCAAATTTGAGAGACATAGAAAGAGAGAGTGAGAGTGCCTGAGGTTATAGGTAGGAGTTACACTACATGACTCCACTGTGAATCCTTAACCCCTCAAACAACCTGAGGCCAACATTACTGCGTTAATAATGTTGTCTAGCATGTAGTCGTAAATAGCTCCATGCCTGATTGTCTTACAGTATCACCATAATGTCAACACACCCACTCTGAGATTACCGTAGATTCCTAGGCAACGCAATGAGAATGACAACATTAACGTCGTTACTAGCATAATGTGAGTGAGTGATGCACATATTTTTTTTTTTACAAAATAGATAGGATGCCTCTGCAAATGAGTCAACATCTATTTTGAGTGGCTTGGTTAGGTAATGAAGTGCCATTATCCTGAAGGCTGTGGTCTGTGGTCTGACCCGTTGGGAGATGCACCTCAGGTTGTCAGTACTGACTCCACACTAAACCTGACTCACAGACCTTTTCAGCTCTCTGTAGTTCTAGTGAAGTAGAGATGTTTAGTTAAAAAGGCCCCTTCTGTTGCGCGGTAGGCAGACTAGGCACACTATTTCTTCTTCAGAGTTCCTCTGTACTGTATTTCATAGCAAATGAATCATTATTTATAGTGAAGAGACTGGCTGAGGGCAGAAAGAAGCTCTGCTGGCTAAGACCATTGCTAAGACCATTGCTAAGAGCATCAGCATTTTTTGCTGTTCGCAGCATGAAATAACAATTACAGTGGCTTACCAGGTGAACCCCATACTTACCCCATACTGTAGATACCAGGTGAAACACTGAGTGTGTGGCCCAAATGGCACCCTATTCCCCATATAGTGCACTATTTTTGACCAGTAGTGCACTACATAGGGAATAGGGTACCATTTGGGCCACAACCTGCTACTTCATCACCTGGTATCTACAGTATGGGGTAAGTATGGGGTTCACCTGGTATCTACAGTATGGGGTAAGTATGGGGTTCACCTGGTATCTACAGTATGGGGTTCACCTGGTATCTACAGTATGGGGTTCACCTGGTATCTACAGTATGGGGTAAGTATGGGGTTCACCTGGTATCTACAGTATGGGGTTCACCTGGTATCTACAGTATGGGGTTCACCTGGTATCTACAGTATGGGGTAAGTATGGGGTTCACCTGGTATCTACAGTATGGGGTTCACCTGGTATCTACAGTATGGGGTTCACCTGGTATCTACAGTATGGGGTTCACCTGGTATCTACAGTATGGGGTAAGTATGGGGTTCACCTGGTATCTACAGTATGGGGTTCACCTGGTATCTACAGTATGGGGTTCACCTGGTATCTACAGTATGGGGTAAGTATGGGGTTCACCTGGTATCTACAGTATGGGGTTCACCTGGTATCTACAGTATGGGGTTCACCTGGTATCTACAGTATGGGGTAAGTATGGGGTTCACCTGGTATCTACAGTATGGGGTTCACCTGGTATCTACAGTATGGGGTAAGTATGGGGTTCACCTGGTATCTACGGTATGGGGTAAGTATGGGGTTCACCTGGTATCTACGGTATGGGGTAAGTATGGGGTTCACCTGGTATTTACAGTATGGGGTAAATCCCCTTTAGATTTGAATGAAATCTTCCATGCATATTTGCCCATTGTAGAAGTGCTGAAAAGTGACTTTTTGGACCTGAATGCAAAAACATTCAAGAGATAAAGGTGCTCAAAGTTGACCCATTTAGCCTACCCCACCATACCATGAGACGTCCATGTCGTCATAACTGGAAAATATAAATGGTTGAGATTGATATAATTAGGGCTCCCGAGTGGCGCAGCGGTCTAAGGCACTGCATCTCAGTGCTAGAGACGTCACTACAGACCCTGGTTCGATTCCAGGCTGTATCACAATCCGGCCGTGATTGGGCGGCGCACAATTGGCCCAGCGTCGGCCGGGTTAGGGGAGGGTTTGGCCGGTGTAGGCCGTCATTGTAAATAAGAATTTGTTCTTAACTGACTTGCCTAGTTAAATAAAGGTTAAATAAAAAACACAAATAATAATTTAAAAGCTTACAAACAGTTTGGATCTAATGGCATTATTTTATCTATAAGTACAGAGATGACATCGTTGACTTTCCCCCAGAATTCAACCACCCCCAGGCATTTCCACAGCACATGCTGAAAAGTACCAAGGTCCGCTGTGGTGCAGAACTTACATAATGGCGATGGACTAATACCCATGTGATGTCTTTTTTGTGGTGTTCGATAGGTTCTATGGCACATTTTATTAATTAATTAGTTGGTGATTGGGGTTTCTAGATGATATATTTTTCCATGCTGTCTCCCAATTTATTTGTCTGTCAGCAAGTGTTAAATATTTTTCCCATACAGTGGATAGAGTTAATGGTTTTTGTGCTGCTAGAATTAATTGACTATAGATGTCAGAAACAACTCCTTTTGAGGGGCGTCTGTCCGTTAGAAGTTTGACCAATGGGTGTACTGCTAATTCTGCTCCCCACGGGACCCCATAGGCTCGCATGGATAGGCGGAGCTGAAGTTAAAGACAAAATAATGACATTCAAACACTGGTGGATTTCCTGGAAATTGATGAGTCATTTCACATTGAATATGTCTTTGAAAGTATAAATACCCTTCTTAGACCAAGAATCTGATAGAAATGGTTTCTTACATGCTAAGAATGATTTATTACTCCATATTGGAGAGTATGAATGCCATTTCAGATTAATCTCATATTATTCTCTGTAGCTTTCCACACATTTACTGAGTACGCTATAAAGGCTCCAAACAATAATGCAAATTTTTTAGGAGTCAATCCAGAAAAGAATACATCTTGTAATCTAATTGGAGAAATTATTGACTCTTCTACTCTCTGGGTTTAACCAGGTCTTCAGGAAATTCATTTGGAATGATAGGTGATCATATTTTAGATTTGGAACTGCAAGTCCACCTGATGCTTTAGTTCTCCGTAGTGTTGCATATTTCATCTGTGGTCTCTTTCTCCTCCAAATGAACTTGTTTATGACAGAGTCAAGTTTAGACCAATAGTCTATAGGAGGAGGCAGTTGTAACATGGAAGTCATCCAATTGATACGAGGGAGGACATTCATTTTAATCATTGAGATTCTAGCATGCAAAGAAGTGGGCATAGCGGACTATCTTTTGAAAAAGTCTCTTTCTGACCTCTTCATCCATGGGCAAACGTATGGAATGTTTTGTTTAAAATCGAAAGGGATGCTGTCAGTGTGATTGAATTCAAATGGATTTACCCCATTACCTTCATTCATATCCATATTTTAAATCAAACAGGTTTATGTCCGTCCATCTTCCTGTGTCTTTCGCTCTTTCCTGCTTTGTCTGCTGTCTCATTTATACCACATAAAATGACCTTTCACATGTAACATGAGAATATCTTGGTCTTCCTCTGTCTTTAACAGGTCAGTTTACATGATATCTTCTCCGACTTTACTCTTTGATATCTTGGTCTTCCTCTCTATATAGGGTGAGAGGAAAAACACTATGGCAGTATACATATTTACATCCTGGTCTTCCTCCTCCTCCTCTCTGTCTATAGGCTGTGAGGAAGATGAGTAGTGGTGAAGCTCCTCCCACCATCACCATGGCTCTGATCAACCCCCAGACCCCCTCAGCCTCTGCTGACGCCAAACAGCCCTCCACTCAGCAGCTTTCCATCAGTGTGTGAGTAACACTGGAGTAACACTGGAGTAACATGGTAGTAACATAGGAATAACATAGGAATAACATATGAGTAACAGCCTCTGCTGACACCAATCTGTCCTCTACACAGCAGAGAAACATTGGAGTAACATTGGAGTAACATAGTAGTAACTCTAGAGTAATACAGTAGTAACATGGTAGTAACAACCTCCGCTGACACCAAGCAGTCCGCCACCCATGAACTCCGTCAGCGTGTGAGTAACACTGGCGTAACACTGGGGTAACACTGGCGTAACACTGGCGTAACACTGGGGTAACACTGGCGTAACACTGGGGTAACACTGGGGTAACACTGGCGTAACACTGGGGTAACACTGGGGTAACACTGGGGTAACACTTGCGTAACACTGTCGTAACACTGGGGTAACACTGGCGTAACACTGGCGTAACACTGGCGTAACACTGGCGTAACACTGGGGTAACACTCATAACACTGGGGTAACACTGGGGTAACACTTGCGTAACACTGTCGTAACACTGGGGTAACACTGGGGTAACACTGTCGTAACACTGTCGTAACACTGGCGTAACACTGTCATAACACTGGGGTAACACTGGCGTAACACTGGGGTAACACTGGGGTAACACTGGGGTAACACTGGCGTAACACTGGCGTTACACTGGGGTAACACTGGGATAACACTGGCGTAACACTGGGGTAACACTGGCGTAACACTGGCGTAACACTGGGGTAACACTGGCGTAACACTGGGGTGACACTGGCGTAACACTGGGGTAACACTGGCGTAACACTGGCGTAACACTGGGGTAACACTGGGATAACACTGGGGTAACACTGGGATAACACTGGCGTAACACTGGGGTAACACTGGCGTAACACTGGCGTAACACTGGGGTAACACTGGGATAACACTGGGGTAACACTGGCGTAACACTGGGGTAAGACTGGGGTAATAGAGTAGTAACATAGTGGTAGCCCTGGTAGTAACACCAGAATGGTGTAGCATAACACTGGAGTAACCGTGGTGCAACACTATTAATCATACATGACTTAGAAAGGTCCCGAGCCACCATTTTGTAAAACATGAGCTGATATGGAATTTGTCATCTATATGTGAGTTTGAGGTAACCTAACATGTAATCTGTTCTTCAGGTGTGCTGCTCTGTACTCCTACAAGCCCTGTCGTTCTGAGGAACTGGAGCTGAGGAAGGGGGAGATGGTGGGGGTGTATGGGAAGTTTAAGGAGGGCTGGCTCCGAGGCCTCTCCCTACGGACGGGAAAAGTGGGCATCCTGCCCGGCAACTACGTCACACCTGTCCTCAGGTAGGCGGGAGAGCTATTTCTGCCGGTTTCAAGTGACAATTGTTATTCGGATTGTAATGTTGTGGTTTTATATAATTATTGGGAGGATCAGCCTTTCTGTTATGTGATGTGGGTGTCATCAGTGACTACTCTCTTACAGTGCTTCCATCTTTTTGACTTTCATTTGTGTCTTGGACACCTCATTTATTGATTTTGACAGCAATATCTATCTATTCCCTGCCTGCCACAGAACCTCTGCCACGCTCTTGGAGTCCAAGCCAGTGACGGCAGGCCTTGGTACAGTCCCTGGAAAAAGAACCTCGTCGTCCTCCAAGACCCCAGCGGTGGTCCTAGCTCTCCACAGGGTCAACTCAGATGAAACTAGCTACTCTACTGGACAACGGGTTCCACAGCAGTCCGCATCCATGGCCACGCAGCCTGTGATGTCATCAGGCGGCGCCGCGAGACAGTCCCTGCACGGGGTGGGCTCGGAGGGATGGGACACAGTGAGGAAGGTCTTCCATCGTTCACACAGAGGTTTGAGTGGAGGAAGTTCGTAACTCTACAAAGTTCAATTTTCAACTGTTGGATAGTTCCACAGTTGGTTATTATCCTAACATTATGCAGTATTGACCAGTCAGAGATAGTAAACCTGTAATCACAATATGGAACCCATAACAGTGCAGTGGAAATTAGACTGGTTTGATTTGACAAGGATCATTTTGAGTGATTTCAAAGTCTGTTTCATGTCCTCTCAGGCTCATCTCAGCGGGGAAACCACAACCCCCACACCACCATCTCCTCCAGCTCAGCCTTTCAATCCCAGACCCAGACCCACAGTCAGAGCTCATCCCAGAACTCATCCCAGCGCTGTAACCACTACCCCCACACCACCAGTGCCACCTCAGGCGTTCAGCCCCATTCTCAGTCCCATTCTCACAGCCAGAACTTTAGCCACATCCAGGCCCCTGGCTATTCCCCTGCTCTGCTCAGGAAGAAACAACACATTAGCATCCTTCCCAATCACAACAGATCTCTGGCTTGGATGTCTGAGGGACCGGCGCCCTCTAGTGGTGGTTTTATGAAGGACAGGGACACTGCTGCCAGAGAGGCGTTTGATAGGCAGGTGTTGGAGACAAGGCAAGCAGCATCGAATGGTCAGCACTCCATCCACTCCATCCTAGTGAGACCAGATGCCCTCAAGGACAACACAGAGAAGGTAACACACACACACCTGCCTTCTAGATCTTATTAAGTAGCTTGGTTGGATAGTTGACTGGCTTCATGTCTACTTTGACTTCTATTTCAGTTTTGTCTTTATTGTGAAATTCTCTCTTACCATGAACTCTTTCACATAGCACATGCTGACTTCCACTGTATCCTATATCCAGCATCAATCATCTTCGTTCCTGTTCCACTGCTGTATCATAATGTCAACATTGTGTATGTGTTGTATCCCTCAGCCCACCAAGTCAGTGCGGTTCCTGACCCAGCCTGATTCCCCTCCACCACAGCCCAGGATCACCTCCCTGCCCTCGGGTAGCCAGCCCCCCTCCAGTGCCCGCCCTGGTCCCCCTCCCCTGGAGGTCTGGGCTCCATCACTCACCCTGGGGCGAGACGGGCCTGGGATCATACTGAAAGAAGGCAAGGCTCCTGTTCTTAGGAAAGGTCTGGAGACAAACCCCTCAGATGTTCTGACTTCCAATCAGAAACCTACATCATCTTCATCATCATCATCATCAGCACCATCAGCATCAATACAGTCCAGCAGCCCTATCAGGTACAGTGAGTTTTGTTCAAATTACAGTACACATCAACGCTACAGGAAAGAGAGATAGATATACCAGTGTTGACATTGTAATGGTTATGGAGGCAGCTGTGATCTGTGATGAGAGTAACCAGCACCTCTTCTTTCACAAACTGACCTGCCTAGTGTCTGGCTTCAGGAAGTAGGATTTCTGTATTCTGTATGTGATGGGGGTCCTCTGTGGCTCGATTGCATTGCCAAGGGTCCCCCCATACGTAAAATGTATGCATGCATGACTGTAAGTCGCTTTGAATAAAAGCGTCTGCTAAATGGCATATATTATGTTATGTGTTAGATAGAAAATCTCTTTCTCTATTCCACTCATCCCCCTCAGACACAGAGTAGCGACGTCCTACCAGGCCCAGATGGAGTCAGAGATGAGCCTGATGCAGGGTGAGCCTGTCCTGCTCCACAGACATCGGCCCGACGGACGGGTTCTTCTCACCCAGGAGAGCAGTGGCCACACGGGCCTCTTCCATAGCAGTGTTCTTCAGTTCTTAGACCGGTTCAGCTGACTGCCTGTAGTGTTTAGTTATTATTATATTATTACGTGTGTTTTTCCACATAGAAATAGAATGACTAGAATGGGAAAGCTCCCTAGACGCGACAATTTTGATAGTACGCTCATGGGTACACTCAATATGGCCGCCGCCACACCCCATCATGTAACGTTGACTTGAAAAGGAATGTCCATTCTAGCTGTTCTATTTCTATGGATCTCCATGTGTTGACACTGCCAAATGAGATGCCCAATCTGTGTGTGTGTGTATACTTTATCTGTGTGTTGAAAATAATAGATTATTATACTGCCATATAATGACCAAATACAAAGGATACACTATATATAAAGTATGTTGACACCCCTTCAAATTAGTGGATTTGGCTATTTCAGCCACACCCGTTGCTGACAGGTGTATAGAATCGAGTACGCAGCCATGCAATCTCAGACAAAAATTGGCAGTAGAATGGCCTTACTGAAGAGCTCAGTGAATTTCAATTTGGCACCGTCATGGATGCCACCTTTCCAACAAGTCAGTTCGTCAAATTTCTGCCCTGCTAGAGCTGCCCCGGTCAACTGTAAGTGCTGTTATTGTGAAGTGGAAATGTCTAGGAGCAACAACGGCTCAGCCGTGAAATGGTAGGCAACACAAGCTCACAGAACGGGACCGCCGAGTGCTGAAGCACGTGGCGTGTAAAAATCGTCTGTCCTCGGTTGCAACACTCACTAGCAACTTCCAAACTGCCTCTGGAAGCAACGTCAGCACGATAACTGTTTGTCGGGAGCTTCATGAAGTGGGTTTCCATGGCCGAGCAGCCGCACACAAGCCTAAGATCACCATGTGCAATGCCAAGTGTCGGCTGGAGTGGTGTAAAGCTCGCCACTATTGGACTCTGGAGCAGTGGAAACGTTCTCTGGAGTGATGAATCACGCTTCACAATCTGGCAGTCCGACGGACAGATCTGGGTTTGGCGGATGCCAGGAGAACGCTACCTGCCCCAATGCATAGTGGCAACTGTAAAGTTTGGTGGAGGAGGAATAATGGTCTGGGGCTTTTTTTCATGGTTCGGGCCAGTGAAGGAAAATCTTAACGCTACAGCATACAATGACATTCTAGATGATTCTGTGCTTCCAACTTTGTGGCAACTGTTTGGGGAAGGCCCTTTCCTGTTTTTAGCAAGACCATGCCCCCGTGCACAAAGTGAGGTCCATACAGAAATGGTTTGTCGAGATCGGTGTGGAAGAACATGACTGGTCTGCACAGAGCCCTGACCTCAACCCCATCAAACACCTTTGGGATGAATTGGAACGCCGAATGCGAGCCAGGCCTAATTGGCCAACATCAGTTCCCGACCTCACTAATGCTCTTGTGGCTGAATGGAAGCAAGTCCCCGCAGCAATGTTCCAACATCTAGTGGAAAGCCTTCCCAGAAGAGTGGAGGCTGTTATAGCAGCAAAGGGGGGACCAACTCCATATTAATGCCCATGATTTTGGAATAAGATGAGCAGGTGTCCACATATTTTTGGTCATGTAGTGTATTTTTCCCCCCTTGAGATTCCTTGGACCCGTTTTAAACTAGATAGATAACTATGAGGTTTGGAGATATATTTGTGTATATTTTGATGTGCAGAAGCATGAGAGTTGCATAGACCTACTGTATACAGTTATTATTACCAATCCCAGTTGCACAAACCCACCTCCGATCAATGTTTTGTATAAATAATTAGTGATCTCTTTATTCAAGAGCTATTAGACACACTAGTCAGTGCCTTTGCAAAGCCCACAAAGTATAGATTTGCCAAAAAAATAACAGCCCTCTTACCAAAGGCAAAATATATGCAAAAGTGATGATCATAAAGTGGTAATAAACAATGCTTCTGTCAACTATAGCATGCATTTGTTACATTCTTAACCTGCTTTTGCTAAATAACTGCACACCTATGGTATGTGTTCTGTCCTGCACTTTGAAGACTTTTCAGAGAACACATACACATGTGTCCTCTAAGAAATTCTACTTCTCTGCTCTTTACTTTGTGAGTGCTGAAAATAAATAATGTATGACATTGTAGCTAAAATACACATTTTATTGGCTGTAGCATGGATCATGATCCCCTGTTCTGTTTTTCATTTATTCTGTATCATCCGCCTTTTTTTCAACTAACATTATTGTTGTTCATTAAATCCAACATAGTGAGATAGGTATTTTACCTCCACCTATATAGCGATGCCATGTCTACTGTACTCTAGTGTACACTACCCCACCTCATCATTCTACTGCGCGGCCGCAGATTCAATTCGTCCAGGCTTGACAATGTTATCAGCATCGGAGGTAGTTGGCCACTGATGAAATGGGCACTGCGTTGGCATTTAAATCATTTTTGATAAGATAAACACTACCATCAAATCATCCAAAAGCTTTTGCTATTGTCTCATATAATTTAAACATCAAAACTGAAGTCTTAAAATGCCGGTAAGTCGGCCCTTTGTATTTCTCTGTTTTTGTGTTTTCAGAGGGGTTCCACCCTTCCTCCACCCTGAATGATATGAGGCTAACGTTAGCTTAGCTAGCTAGCTTCGTCTTGGGGTTTTGAATGAGTTAGCTAGCTAATGCTATTTTCAACCTGTTTTAGAAAGTGTCATTATATTTGATAGATATGCAGCCATATACGTTAAAACCAGGATGCAGCAAGGGCATGTAGTTAGCCAAGTTATTGTGTTAATAAGTTGTATTCGTTGTGCATAGCGACGCAGAAGCTGGTTAGTTGACATGCTAACATTAGCTAGCTTGCTTGCCTAGCAACAGCAAGCGTTTGCGTGGAATACATTGCAGATTAGCTAGCCAACTAACTATCAAGTTAGCTACGTGCCCGCAAGTATTGATTGGCCATACGTTGAACTAGCAACTAGTTCTTTCAACTGTCTTTACAGTTAATTAGCTAACTATCTAACTAACGCTAGCTGTACGGTAATGTTAGCTTGCTAACTGGATTCATTATAGCTAGCCAGCCAGTTTAATATGTCTTCCTTTGCTGTGGTGAGATTGATGATGTTAGCTATGAGTGGTGTTTTCATATTGCATTACATGAGGCATCGGCTCTGAAATCATGTAGCTACTAGGTGGCTGGCATCATTAGTAGTTATTCCTGCCTTGCAGAGCAACAAGGTGGACAAATCTGACAAGCCGGAGGTCATGGACAACGTCAAAGTGGTTGTGCGATGTCGCCCGCTAAACCAGAAGGAGAGGAGTATGGGCCACAAGCAGGCCGTCAGTGTGGATGAGAACCGAGGGACCATAACCGTCAACAAACTAGACACCACCCACGAACCGCCCAAGACTTTCACATTTGACACAGTGTTCGGACCAGACAGCAAACAGCTGGACGTTTACAATCTGACAGCCCGCCCCATCATAGACTCAGTATTAGAGGGTTACAATGGTAAGTGGAGAGAGGATTTGAAATTATCTGTCCATTCACTGTTGCTGACTACACAATTGCATTTGATCAAATCAAGCTTTATTTCTACAACACATTTCAGACATGCAATGCAACTTGCTTTCCAGGAGAAAAAAAAACAATGGAAACAAAAACTGAAATATTTACTACACAACAAACAAGATAAAAAAACAAAAGAATGACAAACAGAATTACAAAAAAGCACCCAGAGGAAAAGCAAAGCTAAAAATGTGTTTTAAGATCTCTTTTAAATATGTACTCAGTTTCGGCCCCCCTCAGGTTCTTTGGCAGGCTATTCCAGAGGCTGGGGGCATAATAACTAAAGGCTGCCTCTCCATGCGTCTTGGTCCATGCCTCTAGGCTTTGGGATAGTTAAAAGGCCAGTGCCAGAGGACCTGAGGGACCTACTGGGTACATAACTGAAAAGCATGTCTGACATGTATTGGGGTGCACAATTGTGGATTGAACCAATAGAAGAATCTTAAACTCAATTATAAAACTCACAGGCAGCCAGTGCAGAGACCTTAAAACCGGTGTAATGTGTGCTCTCCGTCTGGTCTTAGTCAGTACCATGCTGTAGCATTCTGTATGTTTTGCAGTTGACCAATGGCTTTCTTGGGTAGACCAAACAGGAGAGCATTACAGTAGTCAAGCCTGCTTGTAATAAAAGCATGGATGAGTCTCTCTGTATCAGCCTGAGAGAGAAACGGCCGCACCTTGGCAATGTTCCTCAGGTGGTAAAAAGCTGTTGACTGACACTGAGAGGCCTATTATCAGATAGCTTTTGTGAATTCCCTTTCAGCATAGGCCCCATAGTTTATAAGTGGTAGCCTACATTCAGATTTAGTTATGTGTGCTGTAAGAGTATGTATTCAGATTAGGAGTTTTGCTGTTTCACCCACCATTCAGGGGCGGTTTCCCGGACACAGATTGAGCCTAGTAGAGATTGACCATTGAGTTTTTTAGTCCCAGGACTAGGCTGCCTGGGAAACCGCCTCTAAATGTTTTAATACTGAGCCTGTGTTTTCTCCAGGGACCATCTTTGCATACGGACAGACAGGGACAGGAAAGACGTTCACCATGGAGGGGGTGAGGGCAGTACCAGAGCTCCGAGGAATAATCCCCAACTCCTTCGCTCATGTGTTCGGACACATCGCCAAAGCAGAGGGCGACACCCGGTAAGGACATTAACACGAACAGGCAAAACAATACAACAACACTGGTTCATTGCCAGGCAATTGTTTGATGCAACATGATAAGACTGACTTATTCCTTTCAACCCCTAGGGGAGCAAAAGGCCTCAAACAAACACTGGTTAAGACACTGGTTAAGACACTGGTTAAGACACTGGTTGGAGTCAATGTAAACAGAAAACGCTTAGGCCTTCAAGAAAAAAGACAGGCACTGTTTTTGACATGCTTGCTGCTCACAGTATCTCAGTTTGAGGTTGATTTTGAAATAAACATCTTTCCTCTTATCCGCAGGTTCTTGGTTCGTGTCTCTTATCTGGAGATTTACAATGAAGAAGTGAGGGATCTGCTGGGGAAGGACCAGATGCAGAGGCTGGAGGTTAGAGGATGTTTCATATGATATGATACGCTTCTCAGAATAAACATCCCGTTCATTTAGCAAGAAGTAGCTGTACGAAGCAGCTGTAGATATGAAGAACATTATCCCATTAATAGATTAACCATATAAACAAAACACTGGCGCTAGCTTCATAGGTAGTAGCTTCTTGGTTTGATTTGATTTGATGACCACAGTGACCAAACGATAAAGATGAGCATGGTTGTTGGTCCCTAGAAGGACAGAACATTACACAATACTAGGGGACCAGAAAGGGAACTGAAGATGATTGCCTTATCATAACTCATCTCCATTGGTTTGTGTGACGGGCGGATGCGGAGATAAGATCACAATAACCAAATCAATAATACATCAATGTTATTGGTTCCTGAAAGGAGAGAACAGGACACAACACATGAGGATGGTCGGTGCACAATTGGTCCAGCTTCGTCCAAGGCAGGGGAGGGTTTGGCCGGCTGGGATGTCATAAATCATCAGTTAAATGGACAATTCCTTCACAGGCTGCAAATGTGAAACTTGTCGTTTCCTGTGTCACTGCTTCCAATGCGAAAGCTTTTAGTCCACTTTGATTCTAAAAGAAGAGACCTCTGCAGAATTCACCATGTCTGAACACTGTTCAATTGGGCCAGACACCAGGAGACAAATCAAAGTTGTTCTTAACGTGAAAGAAAAGTGAGAATTTTGTGTATTTTTACTTGTCTATGATGCTGTAAATGGATTATTGTGAGGTTCTCTCGTAACATGTTTCCACCACTTGTGGGTTTAACATCCTCAGAATTGAGCATGCATCAGTCCCAACAGCTGTGGTCCTTTGTAGCTCAGTTGGTAGAGCATGGCGCTTGTAAAGCCAGGGTAGTGGGTTCGATTCCCCCACCCATATGTAAAATGTATGCACGCACGACTGTAAGTCGCTTTGGATAAAAGCGTCTGCTAAATGGCATATTACACATATATTACACATGTGGGTTCGTTTCCCACGGGGGGCCAGTATGAAAAAAACAAAAAACATGTATGCATTCACTAACTATAAGTCGCTCTGGATAAGAGCGTCTGCTAAATGACTAAAATGTAGCTGTAAATGTATGGGATGTTCTCTGTTAAGGGAACTATAGACGATTACCCTTCTCATAATTCAGTTCTTAGTTTTTAATACAGGTGAGCATGATAACGTTGTTGGTTCCCAGGAGGGAAGATATTAATGTATAAGAGGAATGAGAGAGTGTTGCCTGCTCCTAACTCGTGTCATTGGTTTGTGTGACCGCCAGGTGAAGGAGAGGCCAGATGTGGGCGTTTACATCAAGGACCTGTCTGGTTATGTGGTGAACAACGCTGATGACATGGACAGGATTATGACAATGGGGCACAAGAACCGTAAAGATTCACACAAAGCATTTATAAAAGTGTTCTAAGCATTATAATTCATGATCATACAGTATATACCATTTGCCAGACCCCCTCACCAGAGGTTTATAACCTCAAGGGTCTTTTCCTGATTTAAATAAAGGTTACAACACACTCATGGAAGTTACTATGACGTGTAACCAAGTTATTGTAAGTGAACCAAGAAAATGCAATCTGATGAGTTTTTTATGTTTCTGAATGTGTTCTTTCTTCCCACCCAGGCTCGGTTGGCTCCACCAACATGAATGAACACAGCTCTCGCTCTCATGCCATCTTCAGCATCACCATCGAGTGCAGTGAGAAGGCCGTGGATGGAGACCAGCACGTGCGCATGGGAAAACTCCACCTAGTGGATTTGGCAGTAAGGAAGTCACATGAACATTTACTGTAAAATAAAATAAAAGATATCATTTACCTCAACAGATAAACAGATGGAATCTCCCAGAGAGAAAACTTGACGCTTTGAAGGAGTAAGCTAATTATTGGTAACTTGGTATCTGTTTTTTGAGATATAAGAACCTAATCTGTATAGATTACCTTCATACATTTCTCTGGCTAGGGTTTTCTTAGTCTGCAATGGGAATTATAATTTTAATTCCAATATAGGATTTTTATGAACATTGAGTCCAATTATCAATTTTGAAAGGCCGCTAGGTGAGGTCAGTAAGGCCAGTTGTTGAGCGTGATATTATCAGATTCAACATTTATTGTGGAATGGAAATGTATCTCTGGCTTTATAAGGCATGTGGCTCACACACAGCAAACAGACAGAAAACAGAAAAACACCAGTTAATCTCTCGCTCTCACACTGTACTCTCTCTTTCTCCCCCCCCCCCCCCCCCCCAGGGTTCTGAGCGTCAGGGGAAGACTGGAGCGACTGGCCAGCGGCTGAAAGAGGCCACTAAGATCAACCTGTCTCTGTCCACGCTGGGTAACGTAATCTCAGCCCTGGTGGACGGGAAGAGCACCCACGTCCCCTACAGGAACTCCAAACTCACCCGCCTGCTGCAGGACTCACTGGGGGGAAACTCTAAGACCATGATGGTAACTAACAACACTTCCTGCTTATACGCTATGGGTACACTCAAAATGGCTGCCAGTACTCCCATTATGGCATCGTTGACTTGATTGTGGCGGCCTGTCTACTCATTCTGGTTGTGTGTTAGCACCCAATCAGTATCAATGGTAGCAATGACTCATTAGTTTCCGGTTTTAATGGCACATGCACAACAAGGACAGTGAAATGCCTTTCTTGTAAACTCAAAACCCAACAATGCAGTAATCAATAGCAATGTAATACTAGAATAAAACAGTAAGTAAGTAAGCAGACTATATACAGGGTCAGTTCCAATACCATATTTACAATGTGCAGGGATACTGGAGTGATGGAGGTAGATATGTATACGGGTAAGGTGACTAGGCAACAGGATATAAGATAAACAGAGTAGCAGCAGCTTGTATGTGAGTGGGTGTGCGGTTGTGTAGAGTCAGTATAAATGTATGTGCATATTATGTGTGAGTGAGCAAATGATGAAGTATTTGTGTGTGTGTTGGAGTGAGTGTGTGTGTAGGGCCCTGTGAGTGTGCATAGAGACAGTGCAAATATTTAAATTAAAAGGTCAATAAAGACACAAGGTTAACTCAGTCTGTGTAGCTACACTGAACAAAAATATAAAACGCAACATGTAAAGTGTTGGTCCCATGTTTCATGAGCTGAAATAAAAGATCCCAGAAATGTTCCATATGCACAAAAAGCTTATTTCTCTCCAATTTTGTGCACAAATTTGTTTACATCCCTGTTAGTGAGCATTTCTCCTTTGCCAAGATAATCCATCCACCTGACAGGTGTGGCATATCAAGAATCTGATTAAACAGCATGATCATTACACAGATGCGCCTTGTGCTGGGGACAATAAAAGGCCTCTAAAATGTGCAGTTTTGTCACAACACAATGCCACAGATGTCTCAAGTTGAGGGGCGTGCAATTTTTTACACCGGTCTAATCGCCATTGCTCGTGTTTCTTGGCCCAAGCAAGTCACTTCTTCTTATTGGTGTCCTTTAGTAGTGGTTTCTTTGCAGCAATTCGACCATGAAGGCCTGATTCACGCAGTCTCCTCTGAACAGTTGATGTTGAGATGTGTCTGTTACTTGAAACCTGTGAAGCATTTATTTGGGCTGCAATTTCTGAGGCTGGTAACTTTAATGAACTTATCCTCTGCAGCGGAGGTAACTCTGGGTCTTCCTTTCCTGTGGCGGTCCTCATGATAGCCAGTTTAATCATAGCGCTTGATGGTTTTTGCGAAGTTCTTGAAATGTTCCGGATTGACTGACCTTCATGTCTTAAAGTAATGATGGACTGTCGTTTCTCTTTGCTTATTTGAGCTGTTCTTGCCATAATATGGACTTGGTCTTTTACCAAATAGGGCTATCGTCTGTATACCACCCCTACCTTGTCACAACACAACTGATTGGCTCAAACACATTAAGGAAATAAATTCCACAAATTAACTTTTAAGAAGTTACACCTGTTAATTGAAATTAATTCCAGGGGACTACCTCATTAAGCTGGTTGAGAGAATGCCAAGAGTCATCAAGGCAAAGGGTGGCTACTTTGAAGAATCTGAAATATATTTTGATTTGTTTAACACTTTTTCTTCAAAATAAACTTTTGACTGGTACTGTATATACAAATATTTAATTTGTTAATATTAAGTCTGTTCTTTCATAAAAAGGTCTGATTTGGCTCTGTCATCATATGTATTGTATTCTCATAAACCTTTTCAACGGTCAGTGTGCGAACATCGGCCCAGCGGACTATAACTACGACGAGACCATCAGCACGCTCCGTTACGCCAACCGGGCCAAGAACATCAAGAACAAAGCCCGGATCAATGAGGACCCCAAGGATGCCCTGCTACGGCAGTTCCAGAAGGAGATTGAAGAGCTTAAGAAGAAACTCCAAGAAGGTTAGTTAGTGTTCCACTCTATTAATGCTGTCTTAGACTTTAAGGGCTGGTTTCCCATGTTCCTAGTCATAGACTGAAAAGCATGCTTAGTGGAGAATCGTTTTAGTCCAGGACTAGTCTTAATCTATTTCTAGTTAACCTTCGCTTAGGGTTTAAGGAGAGTAAGCCTTTGCTTAGGGTTTAAGGAGAGTTAACCTGCGCTTAGCGTTTAAGGAGAGTTACAGTGGCATGCGACGGTATTCACCCCTGATTTGTACTTCTCCACAACTTTGTCCCTGACCTGTTTGGAGAGCTCCTTGGTCTTCATGGTGCCGCTTGCTTGGTGGTGCCCCTTGCTTAGTGGTGTTGCAGACTCTGGGGTCTTTCAGAACAGGTGTATATATATACTGAGATCATGTGACAGATCATGTGACACTTAGATTGCACGCAGGTGGACTTTATTTAACTAATTATGTGACTTCTGGAGGTAATTGGTTGCACCAGATCTTATTTAGGGGCTTCATAGCAAAGGGGGTGAATACATATGCACGCACCACTTTTCCGTTATTTATTTTTTAGAATTTTTGAAAACAAGTTATTTTTTAAATTTCACTTCACCAATTTGGACTATTTTGTGTATGTCCATTACATGAAATCCAAATAATAATCCATTTAAATTACAGGTTGTAATGCAACAAAATAGGAAAAACGCCAAGGGGGATGAATAATAAAGGGTTTAAGGAAAGTTTGTAACTACATTTTGTTGTGTTCTGCTGTTCCAGGGGAAGAGATCTCAGGGTCGGAGGGCAGTGGATCAGAGGAGATGGATGAAGGAGATGACGAGGGAAGAGGAGGAAGGAAACGGAGAGGTAAGGGGACCCGTTCTTCCTGTCTCCCAACAGGAGTGTGTGAATGGTACTTTGGCTCCTTATGAAGGGCACTAGGTCTCTGTGAAGGGCACTAGGTCTCTGTGAAGGGCACTAGGCTTCTATGAAGTGTACTGGGCTTTGGTCAAAAGGGAATAGGATGCTATTTGGGATGCAGTAGAGGACTGCTCCCCAGTCCCCAAGTCCCCCGATGCTTTTTAAAAGTTAATATATGAAGAAAATAGGTTTCAGAGAAGAGTTGGGTTTGTTTCTGGCAACTCTGCTCCCAGCACTGCAGGAGAAAGATTCACTCTTAATACAACGGGGAAGAAACTGATGCATGACTTCTTGCACACATACTCATCTTAGTAATTTGTTGTTGATGCTATCATCAAAGGTTTGTCCGCCCACATGGGAATGATTTGTCAGCCAGATGTTAGACATGATTATTAGTGCGGGCTTTTTTCCTTATGACTAAAATGAGTCTGCATCCCCTTTCTAAATAATCACACTAAAAGTACCTAGAAGACGTGTAGAGACAGAGAGAGAGCATGGCCTCTGTGTGTGTCTGGCATATTAAACACTAAACAGGTTTCGGTAGAGTCAGCTAGGAAGTCCCCCAAGGCGCAGTCACCTTGCCCTTTAGGCAAAAGGTGTACACAGCGACAGTGCCTTCAGAAAGTATTCACACCCCTTGACTTATTCCACATTTTGTTCTGTTACAGCCTGAATTAAAAAATGATTAAATTGATGTTTTTCTCTCACCCATCTACACACAATATCCCATAATGACAGTGAAAATATGTTTTTAGAAATTCTTGCAAATGTATTGAAAATGAAATACGTAAGTATTCACACCCCTGAGTCAATACATGTCAGAATCACCCTTGGCAGCGATTACAGCTGTGAGTTCTGGGTAAGTCTCTTAAGAGCTTTCCACACCTGGATTGTACAATATTTGCCCATTATTATTTTCAAAATTCTTCAAGCTCTGTCAAATTCGATCATTGCTAGACAACCATTTTCAGGTCTTGCCATAGATTTTCCAAGTAGATTTAAGTCAAAACTGTAACTCGGCCACTCAGGAACATTAACTGTCTTCTTGGTAAGCAACTCCAGTGTATATTTGGCCTTGTGTTTTAGGTTATTGTCCTGCTGAAAGGTGAATTAATTTCCCAGTGTCTGGTGGAAAGCAGACAACCAGGTTTTTGTCTAGGATTTTGCCAGTGCTTAGCTCCATTCCGTTTCTTTTTTATCCTGAAAAACTCCCCAAAACCTTAATGATTACAAGCGTAACAATTACCATAACATGATGTAGCCACCACTTTGCCTGAAAATATGGAGAGTGCTACTCAGTAATATGTTGAAATGTTTGGGGAAAATCCAAAACACGTTGTGTTCAGGACAAAAAGTGAATTGCTTTGCCACATTTTTGGCAGTATTATTTTACTGCGTTGTTACAAACAGGATGCATGTTTTGTAATATTTTTTATTCTGTACAGGCTTTCTTTTCACTCTGTCAAATAGGTTAGTATTGTGGAGTCAAATAGGTTAATGTTGATCCATCCTCAGTTTTCTCCTATCACAGCCATTAAACTCTAACTGTTTTAAAGTCACCATTGGCCTCATGTTGAAATCCCTGAGCAGTTTCCTTCCTCTCCGGCAACTGAGTTAGGAAGGACGCCTGTATCTTTCTTGTGACTGGGTGTATTGATACACCATCCAAAGTGTAACTAATAACTTCACTATGCTCAAAGGGATATTTAATGTCTGCTTCGTTTATTTTAACCCATCTACCAATAGGTGCCCTTCTTTGCGAGGCATTGGAAACCTCCCTGGTCTTTGTGGTTGAATCTGTGTTTGGAATTCATTGCTCGACTGAGCGACCTTACAGATAATTGCATGTGTGGGCTACAGAGATGAGGTAGTCATTCAAAAATCATGTTAAACACTATTATTACACACATAGTCCATGCGACTTAGTTTAGGCTTGCCATAACAAAGGGGTTGAATACTTATTGACTCAAGACATTTCAGCTTTTCATTTTTAATTCATTTGTAAACATTTAGAAAAACATAATTCCACTTTGACATTATGGGGTATTGTGTGTAGGTCAGTGACAACAAGATCTAAATATAGACCACTTAAAATTCAGGCTGTAACAACAAAATGTGAAAAAAGTCAAGGGGTGTGAATACTTTCTGAAGGCACTGTTCGCGTCAGAATGATCGGTCGCACACAATCCTCAAAGTATTACTGTATTTATTGGGACCTCCTGATACTCTTTAATACACTGCTATAATAGTATAGCTAGTGCCTTGACAGTTTTTCTTGGTCATGTGACCTGATCAGGAAAAACTCTGGGCCCTGTGTATAACCTTGTAGCCTTGGTGCTCTTTAAATTAGATGTTGGATTCTAATGGTGATGCACTGTACATTATTGTGTGTGTGTGTGTGTGTGTGTGTGTGTGTGTGTGTGTGTGTGTGTGTGTGTTAGGGCTTGGCGATATGGCCTAAAAATCATCTTAAAAAAAAAAAAGTCTTATTATTATGTGCGGTTCACGATATACACTGAGGACACCCGCTCTTTCCATGAAATAGACTGACCAGGTGAATCCAGTTGAAAGCTATGATCCCTTATTGATGTCACTTGTTAAATACATTTCAATCAGTGTAGATAAAGGGGAGGAGACAGGTTAAAAGAAGGATGTTAAAGCCTTGAGACAATTGAGACATGGATTTTGTATGTTGTCATTCAGAGGGTGAATGGGCAAGACAAAAGATTGAAAGTGCCTTTGAACGGGGTATGGTAGTAGGTGCCAGGCGCACCGGTTTAAGAACTGCAACGCTGCTGGGTTTTTCATGTTCAACAGTTTCCCGTGTGTCTCAAGGATGGTCCACCACCCAAAGGACATCCAGCCAACTTGACACAACTGTGGGAAGCATTGGAGTCAACATGGGCCAGCATCCCTGTGGAACGCTTTCGACACCTTGTAGAGAGTCCATGCCCCGATGAATTGATGCTGTTCTGAGGGTGGTGCTACTCAATATTGGAAGGTGTTCTTAATGTTTTTTACACTCAGTGTAGTTTAACCTGCTTTTTTCCAATAATCACTGTCCTGGCTTGTCTGTCTATGAAAATGCCCTTTTGGTTACAGATCTGGGTGCAGTTTGAGGAGTTGAAAGGTTAACTTCTCCTCTATTACAGTAAAATAATGTCTCAATGCGTTTTCGGTGTCCATATGACCGGTTCTGTTGGACCAAACCTAAAATGCAAATAGCGAGTTGAAACTGCTTGTTGTCAGATAGGAGGAAGTGATCTCTAGTCTTTGTTGTTGTGAGTGGGAGGGGCTTGGTGCACAGTGCACACAGCACTGAAGGAGACAAGACCATAAAGCAGTGCAGTTTGAGGAGTTGAAAGGTAAAATAATGTCTCAATGCCAAACTGGAGATGTCGTTTTTTTTTTGCCTTGATTATTGCCATACAGGCATTTGGAACATCGCACTAAAACATACCTTTAAATGAGTTTGATATATCGCCCATCCCTAGTGTGTGTGTGTGTGTGTACCTGTGTGTGTGTGTGTGTGTGTGCGTGCGTGCGTCCACTGTCCATGTGCTGCTTAATGTAGCTGGTTATATCAAGCGCTTAGGATTGGCTTGTAGGCTGGTTGCTCTCCAGGTTTGTTGCTCTTTCTCTATGACCCCATCCACCCCATCTCGCTCTCTCTGTGGTCGGCGTGTCCCTGGAGCCTCTCTCTCTTTCTCCTCTCTCCGTATCCTGTCTCTCCCTCCCTCTCCCCATCCTTCCATCAGCCCCCCCTGTCCTCTCGCCATCTCTGTCTGTGTTTGACGTGTCCCTGTTGAGTGTCTACTCTACTCTGTGTTGCAGGCGGTAGCTCCAGTAGCTCAGACTGCTCTGTAGCACCACAGACCACTGAGGAGAAACCCAAGGCTCAGACTAGTGAGTGGGAGCAGCTTGCTGTCTGCACTACCAACCCTACCACCCCTACCACCAAATGCTAGTTAATATGGTCCAGGGACCGTATTCACAAAGCGTCCCAGAGTTGGGAGTGCTGATTATAGGATCTGTTTTGCCTTTTAGGCCTATCATAATGATGTTATGGACAAGCGGACCTGATCCTAGGTCAGCACTCTTACTCTAAGAAGCTTGATAGGCCCAGGCCTACATACTGGCTCTGATCTGTAGGTGCTTTGGCTAACTCCTCAGAATATTGTTGACAGGCGTTGTCTAAAGCATGTATTCCTCAGGACCAGGCTAACCAACCATCCCCTCCTAATGTTAACCTGCCCTGCCTGCCTGCCCTGCCTGCCTGCCCTGCCAGTCCTATAGATATAAGGTACACAGCCTTCCCCTGCCAGTCCTATAGATATAAGGTACACAGCCTTCCCCTGCCAGTCCTATAGATATAAGGTACACAGCCTTCCCCTGCCAGTCCTATAGATATAAGGTACACAGCCTTCCCCTGCCAGTCCTATAGATATAAGGTACACAGCCTTCCCCTGCCAGTCCTATAGATATAAGGTACACAGCCTTCCCCTGCCAGTCCTATAGATATAAGGTACACAGCCTTCCCCTGCCAGTCCTATAGATATAAGGTACACAGCCTTCCCCTGCCAGTCCTATAGATATAAGGTACACAGCCTTCCCCTGCCAGTCCTATAGATATAAGGTACACAGTCCAAATGCCCCTACAAACAGCAATACAAACTGCTTTCTACAATCTTCATTGTGGGGGATAGAGTTGAACCCAAGAAGGAGAATGTCTCAGCGTACTGGGGGGATAGAGTTGAACCCAAGAAGGATGATGTCTCAGCGTACTGGGGGGATAGAGTTGAACCCAAGAAGGATGATGTCTCAGCTGACTGTGGGGATAGAGTTGAACCCAAGAAGGAGGATGTCTCAGCGTACTGGGGGGATAGAGTTGAACCCAAGAAAGATGATGTCACAGCGTACTGGGGGGATAGAGTTGAACCCAAGAAGGAGAATGTCTCAGCGTACTGGGGGGATAGAGTTGAACCCAAGGAGGAGAATGTTTTAGCGTACTGGGGGGATAGAGTTGAACCCAAGAAGGATGATGTCTCAGCGTACTGGGGGGATAGAGTTGAACCCAAGAAGGATGATGTCTCAGCGTACTGGGGGGATAGAGTTGAACCCAAGAAGGATGATGTCTCAGCGTACTGGGGGGATAGAGTTGAACCCAAGAAGGATGATGTCTCAGCGTACTGGGGGGATAGAGTTGAACACAAGAAGGATGATGTCTCAGCGTACTGGGGGGATAGAGTTGAACCCAAGAAGGATGATGTCTCAGCGTACTGGGGGGATAGAGTTGAACCCAAGAAGGATGATGTCTCAGCGTACTGGGGGGATAGAGTTGAACCCAAGAAGGATGATGTCTCAGCGTACTGGGGGGATAGAGTTGAACCCAAGAAGGATGATGTCTCAGCGTACTGGGGGGATAGAGTTGAACCCAAGAAGGATGATGTCTCAGCGTACTGGGGGGATAGAGTTGAACCCAAGAAGGATGATGTCTCAGTTGACTGGGGGGATAGAGTTGAACCCAAGAAGGATGATGTCTCAGCGTACTGGGGGGATAGAGTTGAACCCAAGAAGGATGATGTCTCAGTTGACTGGCGGGATAGAGTTGAACCCAAGAAGGAGAATGTCTCAGCGTACTGGGGGGATAGAGTTGAACCCAAGAAGGATGATGTCTCAGCTGACTGGGGTTGATAGAGTTAAACCCAAGAAGGAGAATGTCTCAGCGTACTGTGGGGATAGAGTTGAACCCAAGAAGGAGGATGTCTCAGCGTACTGGGGGGATATAGTTGAACCCAAGAAGGAGAATGTCTCAGTTGACTGGGGGGATAGAGTTGAACCCAAGAAGGATGATGTCTCAGTTGACTGGGGGGATAGAGTTGAACCCAAGAAGGATGATGTCTAAGCGTACTGGGGGGATAGAGTTGAACCCAAGAAGGATGATGTCTCAGTTGACTGGCGGGATAGAGTTGAACCCAAGAAGGAGAATGTCTCAGCGTACTGGGGGGATAGAGTTGAACCCAAGAAGGAGGATGTCTCAGCGTACTGTGGGGATAGAGTTGAACCCAAGAAGGAGGATGTCTCAGCGTACTGGGGGGATATAGTTGAACCCAAGAAGGAGAATGTCTCAGTTGACTGGGGGGATAGAGTTGAACCCAAGAAGGATGATGTCTCAGTTGACTGGGGGGATAGAGTTGAACCCAAGAAGGATGATGTCTCAGCGTACTGGGGGGATAGAGTTGAACCCAAGAAGGATGATGTCTCAGCGTACTGGGGGGATAGAGTTGAACCCAAGAAGGATGATGTCTCAGCGTACTGGGGGGATAGAGTTGAACCCAAGAAGGAGAATGTCTCAGCGTACTGTGGGGATAGAGTTGAACCCAAGAAGGAGGATGTCTCAGCGTACTGGGGGGATAGAGTTGAACCCAAGAAGGATGATGTCTCAGCGTACTGGGGTTGATAGAGTTGAACCCAAGAAGGAGGATGTCTCAGCGTACTGTGGGGATAGAGTTGAACCCAAGAAGGATGATGTCTCAGCTGTGAAGGGAATTCCTAAACTACACTGAACGAAAATGTAAACGCAACATGTAAAGTGTTGGTCCCATGTTTCATGAGCTGCGATGGAATATCCCATAAATACACACAAAAAGCTTATTTCTCTCAAATCTTGTGCACAAATTTGTTTACATCCCTGTAAGTGTGCATTTCTCCTTTGCCAAGATAATCCATCCACCTGACAGGTGTGGCATATCAAGAAGCTGATTAAACAGCATGATCATTACACAGGTGTACCTTTTGCTGGGGACAATAAAAGTCTCAAGTTTTGTCTCAAGTTTTGAGGGAGCGTGCAATTGGCATGCTGACTGCAGGAATGTCCACCAGAGCTGTTAGCAGATAATTGAATGTTAATTTCTCTACCATAAGCCTAATCCAACGTCGTTTTAGAGAATTTGGCTGTACGTCCAACTGGCCACTTAACCGCAGACCACGTGTATGGTGCCGTGTGGGCGAGCGGTTTGCTGATGTCAATGTTGTGAACAGAGTACCCCATGGTGACGGTGGGATTATGGTATGGGCAGGCATAAACTACGGACAACGAACACAATTGCATTTTATCAATGGCAATTTCAATGCACAGAGATACCATGACAAGATCCTGAGGCCCATTGTCGTGCCATTCATCCCCTGCCATCACCACATGTTTCAGCATAATAATGCATGGCCCAATGTCGCAAGGATCTGTACACAATTCCTGCAAGCTGAAAATGGCCTGCATACTCACCAGACATGTCACCCATTGAGCATGTTTGGAATGCTCTGGATCGACATGTACGACAGCGTGTTCCAGTTCCCGGCAATATCCAGCAACTTTGCAAAGCCATTGAAGAGGAATGGGACAACATTCCACAGGCCACAATCAACAGCCTGATCAACTCTATGCAAAGGAGATGTGTCGCGCTGCATGAGGCAAATGGTGGTCACACCAGACACTGACTGGTTTTCTGATCCACGCCCCTACTTTTTTTAGGTATCTGTGACCAGCAGATGCATATCTGTATTCCCAGTCATGTGAAATCCATAGATTAGGGCCTGATTTTTAAAAATGTATTTAACCTTTATTTAACTAGCAAGACAGTTAAGAACAAATTCTTATTTACAATGACGGCCTACCCTGGCCAAACCTTCCCCTAACCCTGAGGACACTGGGCCAATTGTGCGCCGCCCTATGGGACTCCCGATCACAGCCGGGTGTGATTCTTAATCACTTGATTTTCTTTATCTCACCCCTCTGTCATACATGATACATCTATATCAACACCACTGCTACATGTCTCTATCTATCTAACCACTATATCAACACCACTGCTACATGTCTCTATCTATCTAACCACTATATCAACACTACTGCTACATGTCTCTATCTATCTAACCACTATATCAACACTACTGCTACATGTCTCTATCTATCTAACCACTATATCAACACTACTGCTACATGTCTCTATCTATCTAACCACTATATCAACACTACTGCTACATGTCTCTATCTTCTAACCACTATATCAACACTACTGCTACATGTCTCTATCTATCTAACCACTATATCAACACAACACTACTGCTACATGTCTCTATCTATCTAACCACTATATCAACACTACTGCTACATGTCTCTATCTATCTAACCACTATATCAACACTACTGCTACATGTCTCTATCTATCTAACCACTATATCAACACTACTGCTACATGTCTCTATCTATCTAACCACTATATCAACACTACTGCTACATGTCTCTATCTATCTAACCACTATATCAACACTACTGCTACATGTCTCTATCTATCTAACCACTATATCAACACCACTGCTACATGTCTCTATCTATCTAACCACTATATCAACACTACTGCTACATGTCTCTATCTATCTAACCACTATATCAACACTACTGCTACATGTCTCTATCTATCTAACCACTATATCAACACTACTGCTACATGTCTCTATCTATCTAACCACTATATCAACACTACTGCTACATGTCTCTATCTATCTAACCACTATATCAACACTACTGCTACATGTCTCTATCTAACCACTATATCAACACTACTGCTACATGTCTCTATCTAACCACTATATCAACACTACTGCTACATGTCTCTATCTATCTAACCACTATATCAACACTACTGCTACATGTCTCTATCTATCTAACCACTATATCAACACTACTGCTACATGTCTCTATCTATCTAACCACTATATCAACACTACTGCTACATGTCTCTATCTAACCACTATATCAACACTACTGCTACATGTCTCTATCTATCTAACCACTATATCAACACTACTGCTACATGTCTCTATCTAACCACTATATCAACACTACTGCTACATGTCTCTATCTATCTAACCACTATATCAACACTACTGCTACATGTCTCTATCTATCTAACCACTATATCAACACTACTGCTACATGTCTCTATCTATCTAACCACTATATCAACACTACTGCTACATGTCTCTATCTATCTAACCACTATATCAACACTACTGCTACATGTCTCTATCTATCTAACCACTATATCAACACTACTGCTACATGTCTCTATCTAACCACTATATCAACACTACTGCTACATGTCTCTTATCTATCTAACCACTATATCAACACTACTGCTACATGTCTCTATCTAACCACTATATCAACACTACTGCTACATGTCTCTATCGATCTAACCACTATATCAACACTACTGCTACATGTCTCTATCTATCTAACCACTATATCAACACTACTGCTACATGTCTCTATCTATCTAACCACTATATCAACACTACTGCTACATGTCTCTATCTATCTTACCACTATATCAACACTACTGCTACATGTCTCTATCTATCTAACCACTATATCAACACTACTGCTACATGTCTACTGTGTACAGTTCTGACTTACCTTAATTCACAGCTGATATTACTGTATTTTCTGTTTTTATAATCAGTTTGTTTCTTACAGAGGTAAAACAGGGCTTTTGTTGGAAACGTTTAAGAGGGACAAGGTTGGGGTCATACAGGGCTTTTGTTGGAAACGTTTAAGAGGGACAAGGTTGGGGTCATACAGGGCTTTTGTTGGAAACGTTTAAGAGGGACAAGGTTGGGGTCATACAGGGCTTTTGTTGGAAACGTTTAAGAGGGACAAGGTTGGGGTCATACAGGGCTTTTGTTGGAAACGTTTAAGAGGGACAAGGTTGGGGTCATACAGGGCTTTTGGAAAACATCAACATTAGTTTTCATCTCCACCATTTCATTTATCAAGAGACACAGATCTATTTCCTGTTTTATGTCACTCCTATCATGCTGATCCTGTTGCTCTCTATATATCTCATTCTCTCTCTCTTACTCTATTTATGTCTTTCTGATTCTCTGTCTCCAATTTCTCTCTCTTGTTCTGTTTCTCAGTCTGTCTGTCCCTCTCTCTGTCTGTCTATGTGTATGTCAGCCAAGGGAGTGGGCTCACTCACAATTTTGCCTAAGAACACAGCCATTAATAAAGAATGGTACCAACATATCCTCAGAGAGCAACTTCTCCCAACTATCCAAGAACAGTTTCGTGACGAACAATGCCTTTTCCAGCATGATGGAGCACCTTGCCATAAGGCAAAAGTGATAACTAAGTGGCTCGGGGAACAAAACATCGATATTTTGGGTCCATGGCCAGGAAACTCCCCAGACCTTAATCCCATAGAGAACGTGTGGTCAATCCTCAAGAGGCGGGTGGACAAACAAAAACCCACAAATTCGGACAAACTCCAAGCATTGATTATGCAAGAATGGGCTGCCATCCGTCAGGATGTGGCCCAGAAGTTAATTGATAGCATGCTAGGGCGGATTGCAGAGGTCTTGAAAAAGAAGGGTCAACACTGCAAATATTGACTCTTTGCATAAACTTAATGTTATTGTCAACAAAAGCTTTTGACACTTATGGAATGCTTGTAATTATAGTTCAGTATACCATAGTAACATCTGAGAAAAATATCTCATAACACTGAAGTAGCAAACTTTGTGAAGACCAATACTTGTGTCTTTCTCAAAACTTTTGACCACGACTGTATGTGCCTTCTCTCTGTAGAGTCTTGACGACTGTTCCATGTCACTGTATAATGTGTTGTCTTCTCACTCTTCTTCCTCCTCCTCCTCCTCCTCTTCTCCTGGTGCAAAATGCTTCCTGTCTGACTCTGACTCGCTATACTCCTGTTAATACAAGAAGAAAGAGGTTGGTGCCAGAACATCCTCTGTAGATAGATAAATAACTCCCATATATAAGCTGCTTCCCCAACTGACCACAATCAATAATGTCTGTGTTCCAAACTGCACCCTATTCCCTACGTAGAGGGCCCTGGTCAAAAGTAAGGCACAGAATGGGTAACAGGGTGCCGTTTGGGACACAGCCAATGTCTAGTCTGGTCCTAGATCTGTACAGGGCATTCGGACAGGATTCATTCCCCTTGACTTTTTCCACATTTTGTTACGTTACAGCCTTATTCTAAAACGGATTAAATAAAAATAAATCAGTCTACACACAATACCCCATAATGACAAAACGAAAACAGATTTTTAGAAAACAGAAACCTTATTTACATAAGTATTCAGACCCTTTGCTATGAGACTCGAAATTGAGCTCAGGTGCATCCTGTTTCCATTGATAATCCTTATGATGTTTCTACAACTTGATTGGAGTCCACCTGTGGTGAATGTAATTGATTGGACATTATTTGGAAAGGCACACACCTGTCTATATAAGGTCCCACAGTTGACAGTGCTTGTCAGAGCAAAAACCAAGCCATGAGGTCGAAGGAATTGTCCGTAGAGCTCCGAGACAGGATTGTGTCGAGGCACAGATCTGGGGAAGGGTACCAAGACATTTCTGCAGCATTGAAGGTCCCCAAGAACACAGTGGCCTCCATCATTCTTAAATGGAAAAAGTTTGGAACCACCAAGACTCTTCCTAGAGCTGTCCGCCCGGCCAAACTGAGCAATCAGGGGAGAAGGGCCTTGGTCAGGGAAGTGACCAAGAACCTGATGGTCACTCTGACAGAGCTCCAGAGTTCCTCTCTGGAGTTGGGAGAACCTTCAAGAAGGACAACCATCTCTGCAGCACTCCACCAATCAGGCCTTTATGGTAGAGTGGCCAGACAGAAGCCACTCCTCAGTAAAAGGCTCATGACAGCCCGCTTGGAGTTTGTCAAAAGGTACCCAAAGGACTCTCAGACCATGAGAAACAAGATTCTCTGGTCTGATGAAACCAAGATTGAACTCTTTGGTCTGAATGCCAAGCGTCACATCTGGAGGACACCTGGCACCATCCCTACGGTGAACTGTGGTGGCAGCATCATGCTGTGGGGATGTTTTTCAGCAGCAGGGACTGGAAAACTAGTCAGGATCAAGGGAAAGATGAACGGCGCAAAGTACAGAGAGATCCTTGATGAAAACCTGCTCCAGAGTGCTCAGGACCTCAGACTGGGGTGAAGGTTCACTTTCCAACAGGACAACGACCCTAAGCACACAGCCTTGAGTGGCCCAGCCAGAGCCCGAACTTGAACCGGATCCAACATCTCTGGAGAGACCTGAAAATAGCTGTGCAGTGACGCTCCCCATCCAACCTGACAGATCTTGAGAGGATCTGCAGAGAAGAATGGGAGAAACTCCCCAAATATAGGTGTGCCAAGCTTGTAGCGTCATACCCAAGAAGGCTTGAGGCTGTAATCGCTGCCAAAGGTGCTTCAACAAAGGACTGAGTTAAGGCCCTGAATACTTATGTACAGTGGGGAAAAAAAGTATTTAGTCAGCCACCAATTGTGCAAGTTCTCCCACTTAAAAAGATGAGAGAGGCCTGTAATTTTCATCATAGGTACACGTCAACTATGACAGACAAATTGAGGAAAAAAAATCCAGAAAATCACATTGTAGGATTTTTAATGAATTTATTTGCAAATTATGGTGGAAAATATAAGAAGGGTTGCATTCCAAAACGCTATATATCTTTCACATTTGTGTTTTTTTACCACAGAAATTATTGCTGATGGGTACCTTCATGTGTGTGTAAAATATTACTGTTCTCTGATTTTTTTATTCATATATTTACGATGTGTTGAATTGGGTTTTGTTGCAAAACGCTATATATCCTGTATATTTGACTGTGATACAGTGGGGGAAAAAAGCATTTAGTCAGCCACCAATTGTGCAAGTTCTCCCACTTAAAAAGATGAGAGAGGCCTGTAATTTTCATCATAGGTACACGTCAACTATGACAGACAAATTGAGGAAAAAAAATCCAGAAAATCACATTGTAGGATTTTTAATGAATTTATTTGCAAATTATGGTGGAAAATAAGTATTTGGTCACCTACAAACAAGCAAGATTTCTGGCTCTCACAGACCTGTAACTTCTTCTTTAAGAGGCTCCTCTGTCCTCCACTCGTTACCTGTATTAATGGCACCTTTTTTAACTTGTTATCAGTATAAAAGACACCTGTCCACAACCTCAAACAGTCACACTCCAAACTCCACTATGGCCAAGACCAAAGAGCTGTCAAAGGACACCAGAAACAAAATTGTAGACCTGCACCAGGCTGGGAAGACTGAATCTGCAATAGGTAAGCAGCTTGGTTTGAAGAAATCAACTGTGGGAGCAATTATTAGGAAATGGAAGACATACAAGACCACTGATAATCTCCCTCGATCTGGGGCTCCACGCAAGATCTCACCCCGTGGGGTCAAAATGATCACAAGAACGGTGAGCAAAAATCCCAGAACCACACGGGGGGACCTAGTGAATGACCTGCAGAGAGCTGGGACCAAAGTAACAAAGCCTACCATCAGTAACACACTACGCCGCCAGGGACTCAAATCCTGCAGTGTCAGACTTGTCCCCCTGCTTAAGCCAGTACATGTCCAGGCCCGTCTGAAGTTTGCTAGAGTGCATTTGGATGATCCAGAAGAGGATTGGGAGAATGTCATATGGTCAGATGAAACCAAAATATAACTTTTTGGTAAAAACTCAACTCGTCGTGTTTGGAGGACAAAGAATGCTGAGTTGCATCCAAAGAACACCATACCTACTGTGAAGCATGGGGGTGGAAACATCATGCTTTGGGGCTGTTTTTCTGCAAAGGGACCAGGACGACTGATCCGTGTAAAGGAAAGAATGAATGGGGCCATGTATCGTGAGATTTTGAGTGAAAACCTCCTTCCATCAGCAAGGGCATTGAAGATGAAACGTGGCTGGGTCTTTCAGCATGACAATGATCCCAAACACACCGCCCGGGCAACGAAGGAGTGGCTTTGTAAGAAGCATTTCAAGGTCTTGGAGTGGCCTAGCCAGTCTCCAGATCTCAACCCCATAGAAAATCTTTGGAGGGAGTTGAAAGTCTGTGTTGCCCAGTGACAGCCCCAAAACATCACTGCTCTAGAGGATATCTGCATGGAGGAATGGGCCAAAATACCAGCAACAGTGTGTGAAAACCTTGTGAAGACTTACAGAAAATGTTTGACCTGTGTCATTGCCAACAAAGGGTATATAACAAAGTATTGAGAAACTTTTGTTATTGACCAAATACTTATTTTCCACCATAATATGCAAATAAATTCATAAAAAATCCTACAATGTGATTTTCTGGATTTTTTTTTCTCATTTTGTCTGTCATAGTTGACGTGTACCTATGATGAAATTTACAGGCCTCTCTCATCTTTTTAAGTGGGAGAACTTGCACAATTGGTGGCTGACTAAATACTTTTTTTCCCCACTGTAAATATGATGCATAAAAAATATATATTGTATTGGTATTGTGTGTAGATTGATGAGGGGGAAAAAAACGACTTAATCAATTTTAGAATAAGGCTTTACTCTGGATGTCAGACAGATCTGGGACCAGGTTATAATTGCAATGTCTTTCAGTGAACTATTGAATTTAATATAATTATCAAACAAATAGAATGTAATTTAATTGACTAACTAGCGTTAACGCTAACAAAAACGGCAACCGAATGAAATCTATTGTTGAGTCAGTCAGTATGAATGAAGGTTCTCTCTATTCTACTGTACTGCCACGCTGACTATCTTGGTCTTCCCCCTGTCACTTACGTCTTCATGTCTATAGCTCTGAGAGAGCCTTGTGCCGGACATATGAGTAGGCCTGAAGCCTGCACTCTGTCTAGAAGCAGGTCTCAGATGGCACCCGATTCTCTATGTAGTGCACTACTTTTGGTCAAAAGTAGTGCACCATTTGGACACACACACACACAGAGATATTTAAATGCACCTTTTAATTTCCTGCTCTTAATCTAATGAATAGTTTCTCCAGAAAGTACTGACTTCTGTCTCTTCATCAAGGAGCTAATTCATACAGTTGATGCTGTTTTTACTGCTCTGTAGGAGACTGTAGCTGCTATTGATCACCTTGAGAGAGAGACAATATGTGTATTAAATCTAATATTTTACTAATTAACCATTGTAATATGATGTGCTGTGTTAGCATGGTCCCAGATCTGTTTGTGCACGTTGTGACTATGACCATAGGAGTTGGCGAAGACATTGATCTGGGACCAGACTAGTGCTGTCTAAGCAAACCTACGAGTCAGACTGAGTTGGGTGTAGGGTGATGTTGCCCCTAGATGCAGATCTTGGATCAGAATTGCATGTTCTAATGGTTAAGTTTAGGTTTGGGGGATCTGAGCCTAGATCTGCATGTTGGACCTAAGGGGAAACTTCACCCCTGACCCGGTGTGTTGAGGTGGTAGAGACAATCTAAAGAATGACATGTCATTAGGAAACGGCCATGATGGCTGTGGACTTCGGGGATGGCTCTATAAGTCAAATAAATGATGATCACTATTATTATCGGCAGGTTAGCTTAGAGGGTAAGAGCGTTTGCCAGAAACGAAAGGTCGCTGGTTCGAACCGAGCGACAGGTGAAAAATCTGTGCGATGTGCCCTGAGCAAGGCATTACCTAATGTCATGTAAGTCGCTAAGAAGAAGGTTTCTCCTGACAAGATGGTGGAGATGCAGGCGAAGATCGAGGAGGAGAGGAAGGAGCTAGAAGCCAAGCTGGACATGGAGGAGGAGGAGAGGAACAAGGCCAGAGCAGAACTGGAGAAGAGAGAGAAGGACCTGCTCAAAGCACAGTGAGGACAGTCTGGGGTTGCAAAATTCCAGAAACATTCCCCATATTCCCAAGTTTTCCAGAAATCACAGTTGAAGAATAATCTACTGCTTTAAAATATGATCTAACGCTAGCCCCCCTACCCCTAGATACATTTGGGTGACCTCTTGTAGATCTGAGACATCCTAGAAGGGTATAAGCAATATGCCAGAAACTCCACCTAGCCTACTAAAGGTATTTTCAGATCTACTGACCCCTGACCTCTAACCACCTCCACCCAGGCAGGAGCACCACCTGCTGCTGGAGAAGTTGTCAGCCCTGGAGAAGAAGGTGATCGTAGGAGGAGTGGACCTCCTGGCCAAGGCTGAGGAGCAGGAGAAACTACTGCAGGAGTCTAACAATGAGTTAGAGGAGAGACGCAGGAGGGCTGAGCAGCTCCGCAGAGAGCTAGAGGAGAAGGAGGTATATCACCTCACACATAATATCACAATATATTACAGTGCCTTCAGAAAGTATTCACACCCCTTGAATTTTTCCACATTTTGTTGTTACTGCCCTGAATTTAAAATGAATTAAATTCAGATTTTGTGTCACTGGCCTACACACAATAGCCCATAATGTCAGTGGAATTATTTTATTTTTTTCGAAATTCAGGCTGTAACACAACAAAAAAGTCAAGGGGTGTGAATACTTTTTGAAGGCACTGTACATCTCTATATGGAGGTAATACTATCAACTCAAAACAGTGCTGCAGAGAACTGGAGGAAGAGGAGTTATAGCACAGAATGAAATAGAACATCTACATTGTGGCGGGGGGGGGGTAACCAGGCTGAGTCCTAGTTCAGACAACTGAAGAGTTGTAAGACAAATGCCAGTCATTTCCACCACACTTCCTCTGTCTGAGGTGGAGCGCGGATGATGATAAGTGGCGCTGTGGAGATGTGATGAGTGGTATTTTTGGTACGAGGGCACCGACAGGAAAAGGATATGACATCATCATCATCATCATTCTCAGCATATTGGGTACCGAAATGAGTCATAAAGTAGAAACAACTGTGGCATGTCCAAATGGCACCCAATTCCCTACATAGTGCACTACATTTGACCAGAGCCCTATGTCGGGGGGTACAACGACCAAACATTTAGAGAACAGATTATTTTATGGGACAATATACAAATGTTTTTGTACAAGATAATTAGAAAAATTTGTAAATGTATACATTGGTTATTCTAATTTGAATACATTTTGATGAGAGATGAAAATGTAATGAATTAAACGTTATTTGTTGATGTGAAAAATCTACATTTACCGATTTGAAGGTTGTCATTAGATTTAGGGTGGGATGGGGGTCGTCAGAATTTCTGGTGAAAAAAAAAATGGGCTATATGCTGAAAAAGTTTTGAATAGCACTGCCTTAAAGGTCCACTAAGTCAAACCAGTCAGAACCTTGCTAGTTCAGATCAGGTGCCTGCTTTGCTTTCCTCAGTCTGAAAATGGCAATGGCATCTGTCGATGAGCAGAGGAATTGAACATAATAACAGTTGCAAACTGTAAACAACAGACCAATAATAAAGGACCAGTACAGTCTTGATAAATCCCTAAAGCGTATTGCCTGATATTTCAGTAAAGAATGGTTGACTGAATGATCTCTCTAATTCCAACTAATTTTATGACATCAGCAGTTTATTTTATTACATCAGCAGTTTATTTCTTCACACACTCATCAATTCACTCTTTGATTCCATGAGGAAATCTGTTGAGTGTTCTGCTGAACTGAGCTAGTGGTATTTACTAGTATTCTGTAGGAGGATATCCCCTTGCCTTGCCAGTATACTGACGGAAGTTTAGACAGCAAGACCTTATCTCCTCTTCTCTCTGAACATCCCACCAGTGTTACGCAGGCAGGTCTACCTCAAATTGTGGCCTGTGTCCCAAATGGCACCCTATTGGTCAAAGGTAGTACACTACATAGGGAATAGGGCACCCTATTGGTCAAAAGTAGTGCCCTCTATAGGGAATAGGGCACCCTATTGGTCAAAAGTAGTGCCCTCTATAGGGAATAGGGCACCCTATTGGTCAAAAGTAGTGCCCTCTATGTGGAATAGGGCACCCTATTGGTCAAAAGTAGTGCACTACATAGGGAATAGGGTGTCATTTGAGACAGCCATTGACTCCATCTTGTTTCTAGAGAAGACCACAATGGGGGGAAAATGCCTTCAGGTGTTATTGTTTTTCTGCATGTGCTGTTGTCTCCGGCTGGAGCAACCTTCTGTGTTAAAGGGACACTTTACAACTTTTTAACGTCAGATTCATTATCTCCAGCACCATACCAGTATCTACATGGAGATGATTCATATGAGGTTAAAAAGTGGTGAGGTTTCCCGTTAATGATAAAATAAATGAAATCCCAAACTCCCTGTTTGTGACGTCCATGCAGGCGGAGCGTCTGGACGTTGAGGAGAAGTACACCAGTCTGCAGGAGGAGGCTCAGGGGAAGACCAAGAAGCTGAAGAAAGTCTGGACCATGCTGATGGCTGCCAAGTCAGAGGTAAGAATGTCCAAGTCCCACAGGGCTCTGGTGAAAACTAGCGCACTAGATAGTGAATAGCATGCATCCCAAGTGTTGTTGTCAAATGGATGACCTGCAGCAATAGCAGAACATTAACACAGCATTGGTTCATTAGTTCATTAACACAGCATTGGTTCATTTCTTCATTAACACAGCATTGGTTCATTTCTTCATTAACACAGCATTGGTTCATTAGTTCATTAACACAGCATTGGTTCATTAGTTCATTAACACACAGCATTGGTTCATTTCTTCATTAACACAGCATTGGTTCATTAGTTCATTAACACACAGCATTGGTTCATTTCTTCATTAACACATAATTGGTTCATTTCTTCATTAACACACAGCATTGGTTAATTTCTTCATTAACACAGCATTGGTTCATTAGTTCATTAACACACAGCATTGGTTCATTTCTTCATTAACACACAGCATTGGTTCATTTCTTCATTAACACACAGCATTGGTTCATTTCTTCATTAACACAGCATTGGTTCATTTCTTCATTAACACAGCATTGGTTCATTTCTTCATTAACACAGCATTGGTTCATTTCTTCATTAACACAGCATTGGTTCATTTCTTCATTAACACACAGCATTGGTTCATTTCTTCATTAACACACAGCATTGGTTCTGTGGTTATTCAGATATTGTTGTGTGTTGTCAGATGGCCGACCTGCAGCAGGAGCATCACCGGGAGATCGAGGGCCTGCTGGAAAATATCCGCCACCTCAGCAGAGAGCTACGACTGCAGATGCTCATCATAGACAACTTCATCCCACAGGAATACCAGGTGTGGGTGTGGGTGTGGGTGTGTAGGTACAGTTGAAGTCGGAAGTTTACATACAGTTAGGTTGGAGTCATTAAAACGTTTTGTTTTTCAACCACTCCACACATTTCTTGTTAACAAGCTATAGTTTTTGCAAGTCGGTTAAGACATCTACTTTGTGCAATTTTTCCAACAATTGTTTACAGACAGATTATTTCAATTATAATTCACTGTATCACAATTCCAGTGGGTCAGAAGTTTACATACACTAAGTTGACTGTGCCTTTAAACAGCTTGGAAAATTCCAGAAAATGATGTCATGGCTTTAGAAGCTTCTGATAAGCTAATTTTGACATCATTTGAGTCAATTGGAGGTGTACCCGTGGATGTATTTCAAGGCCTACCTTCAAACTCAGTGCCTCTTTGCTTGACATCATGGGAAAATGAAAATAAATCAGCCAAGACTTCAGAAAAAAAAATTGTAGACCTCCACAAGTCTGGTTCATCCTTGGGAGCAATTTCCAAACGCCTGAAGGTACCACGTTCATCTGTACGAACAATAGTACGCAAGTGTAAACACCATGGGACCACGCAGCCGTCATACCGCTCAGGAAGGAGATGCGTTCTGTCTCCTAGAGATGAACGTACTCTGGTGCGAAAAGTGCAAATCAATCCCAGAACAACAGCAAAGGAACTTGTGAAGATGCTGGAGGAAACAGGTACAAAAGTATCTATATCCACAGTAAAACAAGTCCAATATCGACATAGCCTGAAAGGCCGCTCAGCAAGGAAGAAGCCACTGCTCCAAAACCGCCATAAAAAAGCCAGACTACGGTTTGCAACTGCACATGGGGACAAAGATCGTTATTTTTGGAGAAATGTCCTCTGGTCTGATGAAACAAAAATAGAACTGTTTGGCCGTAATGACCATCGTTATGTTTGGAGGAACAAGGGGGTGGCTTGCAAGCCGAAGAACACCATCCCAACCGTGAAGCACGGGGGTGGCAGCGTCATGCTGTGGGGGTGCTTTGCTGCAGGAGGGACTGGTGCACTTCACAAAATAGATGGCATCATGAGGAAGGAAAATGATGTGGATATATTGAAGTCAGGAAGTTAAATCTTGGTCACAAATGGGTCTTCCAAATGGACAATGACCCCAAGCATACTTCCAAAGTTGTGGCAAAATGGTTTAAGGACAACAAAATCAAGGTATTGGAGTGGCCATCACAAAGCCCTGACCTCAATCCTATAGAAAATTTGTGGGCAGAACTGAAAAAGCGTGTGCGAGCAAGGAGGCCTACAAACCTGACTCAGTTACACCAGCTCTGTCAGGAGGAATGGGCCAAAATTCACCCAACTTACTGTGGGAAGCTTGTGGAAGGCTACCTGAAACGTTTGACCCAAGTTAAACAATTTAAAGGCAATGTTACCAAATACTAATTGAGTGTATGTGAACTTCTGACCCACTGGGAATGTGATGAAAGAAATAAAAGCTGAAATAAATCATTCTCTCTACTATTATTCTGACATATCACATTCTTAAAATAAAGTGGTGATCCTAACTGACCTAAAACAGGGAATTTTTACTAGGATTAAATGTCAAGAATTGTGAAAAACTGAGTTTAAATGTATTTGTAAACTTCCGACTTCAACTGTAGGTATGTGTGACAACTTCATGTCTGTCTTTCTACAAGTCGTAGACGTGTGTGTGCTTGTGTCCATCCGTCCATCCGTCCATTTCTGTTTGTGTGAGAGAGTATTTAGTTAACACTGATGCTAATATGGTTCCTGCGTCTCCCTGTCTGGTGCAGGAGATGATTGAGAACTACGTGCACTGGAATGAGGACATTGGGGAATGGCAGCTGGTGAGTTCTGCATACAGCCACAGTGAAATATTTAGCCTGAGAGTAATTAGGCTTAAGGGGAGGGAGTTTCTTCATTAACATAGACAGTACAGAGCCACATTGGTGTGATTGCCTCATGCTTCTGACATTGTTTCCATGTTTACTTGTTTGTCCTCAGAAATGTGTAGCGTACACCGGTAACAACATGAGAAAACAGACCCCCGTGCCGGACAAGAAAGAGAAAGATGTGAGTTGTTAGTACACACTACGTATGATGTTGTTAACACGAAGAAGAGAAACATGGCATAGTGGATCTGGATAATATTATTCTACCCTCTCTCTCTTCCTCCACCACCCTCTCTCCACCACCCTCTCTCCATCTCTCTCTCCATCCCTCTCTCCTTCCTCTCTCCCCTCAGCCGTTTGAGGTGGACCTGTCCCATGTGTACTTGGCCTACACAGAGGAGAGTATGAGACAGTCACTGATGAAGCTGGAGAGGCCCAGGACCTCCAAGAGTGGTAGGCCCAAGACTGGACGAAGGTAAACCATCACCACAGTCTGTCTCCCAGTTGCTGCCAGTACATTATTATCCACCATGAATAATATTATTCATACTAACCATAATAATAGTAATAATACAAATTAAAATAACAATAGCAACAATAGTCATATTTATTTTCTGAATACATGTCCTATTATAGAGTACTAATAAAGTCTATCTGAAGTAATGGTTTTCTATATAATAATGTAACACTTCATCAGGTGTATGTCCCATGGTGAAATGTTACTGTAAAAGCTGTTATCACCCTGTTCTGAGAAATACTATGTTATTATCAGATATTTGCTGCTTAATATCACTTCCCAAGAACTATAAGAAATATATACACTGAGCGTACAAAACATTAGAAACACCTTCCTAATATTGAGTTGCTTCCCCCTCAGAACAGCATCAATTCATCGGGGCATGGACTCTCTACAAGGTGGCGAAAGCGTTCCACAGGAATGCTGGCCCATGTTGACTCCAATGCTTCCTACAGTTGTGTCAAGTTGGCTGGATGTCCTTTGGGTGGTGGACCATTCTTGATACACACGGGAAAATGTTAAGCTTGAAAATCCCAGCAGCATTGCAGTTCTTGACACAAACCGGTGCACATACTACCATACCCCGTTCAAAGGCACTTCAATCTTTTGTCTTGCCCATTCACCTTCTGAATGACAACATACACAATCCATGTATGTTGTCTCAAGGCTTTAACATCCTTCTTTAACCTGTCTCCTCCCCTTCATCTACACTGATTGAAGTGGATATAACAGGTGAAATCAATAAGGGATCATAGCTTTCACCTGGATTCACCTGGTCAGTCTATGTCATGGAAAGTGTTCTTGATATTTTGTACACTCAGTGTATATTAACCCCATGAACATCTCATCTGCTTCCCAAATGGCACCCTATTCCCTATTGGCCCAGGTCAAAAGTAGTGCGCTATATAGGGAAAAGGTTGCCATTTGTGACACTAGCCGCCTCTTATCTCCTGACAGGAAAAGATCATCGAAGCCCGAGGCTGTGATGGAATCCCTGCTGCAGTGAGAGAGACAGGGAGAGAGCCAATCAGGGCTGGAGCCCCATGTACTGCAATGAATCTACACTACTATACCTTAGGATCAACAACAGCAGTCAGTCAATAGTCGAGCCTGAAGATCTTTATTGTTGAACGTTGTTATTTAAAAATATTTTATCTTAATACACTGTATAGCCGAGTAAGGTTTTAAATGTGAATGGAGAGGAGACGTTGGTTGATGAATTGGTTGGTTGGTCGGTGAAGGAGGGACCATGCAGCAGCCACTGTACTGCAGGGTGTAACCTGCGTCCCAAATGGCACCCTATAGGGAGGGAATAGGGGTGCCATTTGGGCCTGGCCCTTAAACTGGGGGTTAATGGTCAAGTCAAGGGGACCTTGTATTGTAATAAACGGAGGCTTGTTGAGGATAGTCAGCTTAATGTTGAGTCCTAATATAGCATTCGAGCACAAATCAGGTGGCAACACACTGAATGCGTCCCAAATAGCACCCTATTCCGTATATAGTGCACTACTTTTGACCATGGCTCATAGGGTGTCCCATAGGGCTCTGGTCTAAAGTAGTGCACTATAAAGGGAATAGGGTGTCATTTGGGACACAACAGATGAGTCTATGATGAGCACAAGCCATGGTTTTTGAACATGTCATCATCTGCAAGACGACGACAACTATAACAACAACTATAACACTCAACAACAACAACTATAACACTCAACAACAACAACTATAACACTCAACAACAACAACTATAACACTCAACAACAACAACTATAACACTCAACAACAACAACTATAACACTCAACAACAACAACTATAACACTCAACAACAACAACTATAACACTCAACAACAACAACTATAACACTCAACAACAACAACTATAACACTCAACAACAACAACTATAACACTCAACAACTATAACAACAACTATAACACTCAACAACAACAACAACAACAGTCTTCTGTTATTTGAGATGAAGCAACCACTTCTGATGGCAGGAACATCATTAGGATATATCTGATGCCCTTCAACATAGTCGAAAAATGATTCATCTGTGCACCACAGGTCATAATGCCCTTATTTCAAGGATCACACTTATGGAAGTCTAAAGTGTGCTTTAAACTTAGTTTCCTTCTCTATGTCTGAAGGGTAGGACATGCATGCCATACGGCTTTTATAGATGGGTTGGTTGTTTAGCAACAAAATCGACGAGTGCGCAACAATGGGGCAAACTATTTTGTCTCCAAATGTTCATTGAAAACAAATATATTTGCACAATGAGCGCTTGTCTCTAAATTACATCCTTAGTTGTTGGTTAGCTAGCAAATGTTAACCATATTAGCATAGACGTGACATCAGTCAAAACACCTCAAAACAAGACATGTTATTAATAAGAAGATGCAACAAGCTGAAACTAGCCTCCTACGATTCCCCACATAGCAGCTTCTGGTCCAGGGTTCTTCAATTCCGGTCCTGGAGGGCCGAAACACCTCTGTTTTTCATCCTCTCCTTCTAATCAGGGGCTAATTCAGACCTGGGACACCAGGTGAGTGCAATTAACTACCAGGTAGAAATAAAAAAAACAGAAGTGTTTCGGCCCTCCAGGACCGGAATTGAAGAACCCTGTTCTGGTCATTGTTGCTAACTATCAGACCCTTCACAATCATGACGACACACGGACTTCTGCCTTATCGACGCGCGCGTCATTTTCGTGACGTTATCAGCTAACCAGTCTATATAGTAGTGCCATTCGCCCATTAAACACTAACTAAGCCATTTATTACGCTTTTATTTCCTCCTCCTCATGTCATCGTTTTATGGTGTATTGTAGTGGAAGCAAAGTGTCTTTATTTTGTATTATACTGTATGTCAAATGTTTACATCTACTGGTCCCTCCCCCCGTATCTCTTAGTAATTTATTAAATTATTGGACATGTTTAATCTCACTCTCTTTCTTGGTCCTTTTTCAACATCCCTCTTTTTGTTTATTTCAGACTCTTTTTGTTTCGATTTGTCTGGCTGCCGTGTGTAGCATGCTTTAAGATTGGAATCATGCTAGGTTTCTTCATCTAGGTTTCTTCCTGCCTTCTAGGGAGTTTTTCTAGCCTCTGCATTGCTTGCTCTTTGGGGTTTTTAGGCTGGGTATCTGTAAAGCACTTTGTGACAACTGCTGATATAAAAAGGGCTTTAGAAAATAAATGTAATTGATTGATTGATTGCTATAACGCCAAGGCACTGCCATGAAGTTGCCTTGTTCCACGATTTGCCCAGTGGTCCACACACAAAACAGTAAGGTTAATGATTGTTTTTACAAGTGCTTTATTGTGTAGGTTGGCAGATATTTCAGTGATTCCACATTATAAAATATAGTTTAAGAGGCTAGAGTCAGGAATAGGTCAAATCTAGAAAATCTTTGGTGCAGTAGTATTGCATAGGTGTTAAGATCAACATACTTAATAAACTACATAAAAAAATAGTTTTTACCACTTTCAAGTTAATTTACTCATAAATAGTACAAAAATACATGTCATAGTACATTTAAATACAATTCAATAAATAATAATAGGAAGTATTGGACTATGCACGGTCGACAGAGTTCCCATCACGCCTCTCAGCCGAGCGCTGGGGTCGTTTGTGATGAACGGCAGGGTGGGGGCGGGCGTAGATGACCTGGGCACAGTTGTAGAGGTTTTTCAGGAGCTCGTGGAGCTGTTGCTCGTCAGCATTCTTCTTCACAGTGCAGTTGGTTGGATGAAACTGGGGAGAGAACAGAGAACATTCCACTTAGAACCATAGACTGTCTAAAGAACTCAGAACACTACCCTCAGAACCCCAACTGTACTTCCACAAGGCTCAGGGTGTTTGCCTACACCATGCGTGGTGTTCAATACATCCTGTGTAAATAAACAATATTTTTTTGCAGATGAATCAAATAGTACTGCATTATGGGGGCGTTTTCCTGGACTAGGATGAAGCCAGTTTCACAGACCCAGATTAAGAGAATTTCCATAGAAAGTGCTTTTTAGTCAGTTTTTATGTCTGGAACACTGCCTGTATAAATGTTGTTACTTTTTCAACACTGATAATTGTTATGGCCAAAAGTCAGGGTAGTAGTTACTGTTTGATTGACAAGAGCAGGGCTCTGTTCAAGTGGGTGCAACATTACAATAAATATATACGTTGTGTTGAACAGACATCAGCTCTATTCATACATTTCTATCTGCAATGTTTTTGGATGTTTCACTGAATACACATAGCCTAGCCTGGGTGCCAGTCTGTTTGTGCCATCATGCCACTAGATCTGTGGCCCAGGCTAGAGTACACCCCCAACCAAGTTTAGATTTGTCAGAATGATTCCTTACCTTATTGTACTGCTTCAGTACTCTGCTGATGATCGATGTGTTGGCTGGAGTCCCGTACTGCGTAAGGTTTATGGCAGACAGAATCTTCTCAGCTATGCAGAAATCTTCAGGCTGGAATTTTGAGAAAGTCATGATTATTGATTTGCTGTAGGATGAATCTGTTGCTGGAATGGCTACAATAGCCTGTAGAAAATTCTAAAATATATTGTCAACTTTCTGGTCAGCATTAACAAGTGTCTGATTGCATCAACAAGTGCTGACATGAGTAAGTTAACAGATAGATTAACAGTAGTTATCACTGATGGACATGAGGGGCCCGTTTCCCGGACACAGATTAAGCCCAGTCTTGGACTAAGGAGCACTTTCAATGGTGAATCTCCATTTGAACATGTTTTTCAGTCTCTAGGACTAGGTTTAATCTGTGTCCGGGAAACGGACCCCTCATGTCCATCAGTGATAACTACTGTTAATCTATCTGTTAACTTGCACACTGTCTAATCATGTTTTCATCATATTCATCAAGAATATGGATGCAACTTACCCCGTTTGCCCTGCAGCGATCTTGATTGAATACCGCTGGCACTAGATGGTCCAAAAGG